CTATTCTGTGCTTTCCACGCATAGGACGAGGGCATATGTATCCCAATTCCCTTTGGAGATATGTGAATCATCATTTTTTCATCCGAAGTGCTTGGTAAGCAAGCTCTTGACCTCAAGAAAATTTTCGCTGTTGGGGAAATCCCCGACTTAAATGGATCTAAATTCTCTAATTGGTGGTTGACCTACCCCTCTGAAAAATGATGGAGTGAGTAACAGTTGGGATGATTATTCCATTCCCAACTGGATGGAAAGTCATAAAAGTATATAAAAGTCATGTTCCAAACCACCAATCAGTATATGGTTTATAATAATCCCCAATAAGCCAAGTAGTATAATGCCCTAGCATCCCTTCATGTTCCAAACCACCAACCAGTTCTAAATGGTGGCGTCTAGCCGGGAAACTCATCCAACGAAATGATGGGCTTACTCTCTGAAGCAAGTGGATAAATCTATACAAAGTGGATGACTAACATAGCCGGCTGGAAAATCCCCTTAAAATAAATGGAGCTTTCTAGCTGGGAAAATCATCTATTTCGATTAGGGCCATGGCTATACCATGGCGAACTGTTAGTCATAACCAGATGGTATCCAAAGAAATGGATGGTTTTCAGGTCAGATCTGTTTTTGTTAAGGTCCAGCGCTGATCCCCGACATGGCTATTGATCAATTTCTTAAGGGCCCCAGGAATTAGATCAGTTTGAACTCGAGTTGTTTTGTGCTGCCTCGGGATTTGTCAATTGCGATGAATCATTTATCATCTGGAACATCCCCATGTGGCCCATGTGTATACATTTATCGTGATTCTTCACGCCCCAAGTCTTGCAGGCTAGATGGTCATGAGGTACTTTGGTTTTCACAACTTGAGTTGCAACCATCCTTCCTCGGCATCATCAAATCCTGGAACATCTTTACATCCCAGTTTGCAGGTGCTTCATACTAAGGTTCGTTCACCCAGCTATCTACAGGACCCAACTGTCCCAATTCAGATGCGTATCCAAGTACTGAGCCCAGGGTTGATTGGCATGCCCAGTTCTGTTGTATATACCCTCTGGCAATTTAACAGTTTGCTATTGAAAATGGCCATTTATAGTGAATGTTCCCATTAAACATGGTGATTTTCCATAGTTCTGTTTGTTTACCAGAGGGTACATATTTTTACACGCAAAGTTCCAACAAAAACGGAACTTTGCCGTATGAAGTAAATTGTTGCGGAGGACCACGAGATATCTTTCTGGTCAATAAACCCATCCGATGGCATCCAACATAGCTATGGCATCCATGTTGCCTTGACATATACCCTCTGGTTATGACTAACATAGCCATGGTATAGATGGCCCATAGAAATAGATGGTTTACCGTTCTTAAAAATGGTGGATCTTTCCATGGCAAACTGTGAATGTCATAACCAGAGGGTAACTCTCAGATGCGAAGCTCCAGTGATTTGATCAAACAGTGATTTGATCAGTCAATGACCACGATCCGTCAATCAGTCAATTTTTGGACTCATCCGTTCTCATAAAAAAAAAAAACACGTCGATCCCCAGATGTTTGAGGGTTTTAAGCACCATTCTTCACCATGTTTGATGAAACCCTGCTGACTGAAACGTCCTTTTGTCCTACCTCGACTTCGCGCTTGGGGCCTCTGTATCCTTCGCCGTCATTTGCACGTTGAAACCTTTCGATCGCCGCAACTTTTCTGCGGGAGAGATCAAGTCAGGAGCCATCTTCGAGGCGGATGAATTCATCGCTAGAAATGAGGCAAGTGTACATGTACAAATATCCATCCATGTAGTGTAGTTGTAGTTGTTGTAGTTGTCTATCTATCTATCTATCTATCTATCTGTCTGTCTGTCTGTCTGTCTATCTGTCTGTCTGTCTGTCTGTCTGGCTGTCTGTCTGTCTGTCTACCTATCTGATGCGGCTTCCCAAATCAAAAATCGTCTCCGCATCAGTTCTCGGGGGCCGGTCACTACTTCAAGGAGCTGTGTTTAAGCAGGATATGGTATGTCTGTATACATATACATTTATACATATATATATATATAATTATATATATACTCTGTATATATATATATTATATATTATTATATATATATATTATACATATATTATATATATATAGATTATATATTATATATATACGTCCATGTTATACATCATATGTGTATCTCTATATGTTCTTCTGTATCAAAAAAAATGCCTCGACTAATCGGCGGTTCCGAGGACCGCGGCTCCAGTGATATTTCCATGGCGACTCCGCGTCGAACAACCGAGGCCATAAGACCCGCATCACCCAATGAACGCCGTTCGCTGTGTGACAGCCAGGCCCATGTGTCTCTAAAAATTAGGGTCATATTGATGTATGTATGTATATGCAATATCTATCAATATCTATCATATATGTATATAGTATATATACATAATCGTCCGATCCGTCCAATGATTAAAAAAAAAAAGCTCAAGCAAATTTTAGGGATCGTTATCGTGTTCCCGGAAAAGAACGGCAATTTTAGGGTAATGATCCCCCCGGAAAGCCAGGTCAAGCCACAAAAATCCCATGGGGGGTGATCTGGCTTATCCCATCGGCATGGCGCAATCATGATGGCTGTGAATCACTTAGTCATGAAATTCTGTCATTAACATGTATTAACATGTAGCAAAACATGTAGAAAAAACACATAAACTAAGTTAGATCAAGTCAAACTGTGTCAAAATGATATGCGAAAACAAAATGATACGAATCTTCGACGAACTAAGCCCGTGGATCTTGGGGATCCTTTTGTGCGACACTTCAGAATCCTCAATATACAAAGGCAGCCGTATAGCCCCAGAAAATACAAACCATGATTCGTATATGGAAGCAATGTTGGCGCAATCAAAAGTTTAGGATGATTTAGGATGGATAAGATATGATAAGAACTACCCTCTGGTAAACGTTTACATAACTATGGAAAATCACCATTTTTAATGGAAAAACTCACTATAAATGGTCATTTTCAATAGCTACGTTAAATTACCAGAGGGTAACATGACATGATAATCTTCAATGTTGGCTACTCAAATCCTAGGGGTGTCATCAAGCAACAGGGCTTTTGCAACTGCTCACGTGACTTTTTTGGATTCAACTTTGTTGCTTAAAATTGGATCAAAGGTGTTCAGCAGAAAATGTTCACACAATCATTTCCTCCAAAAACAGAAATGATGATCCTTTCTATGGCCAGAAAATGAAGGATTTGGTGATTCTCAAAGACCAGTTTCCTGGAAAGTAAGTGCTACAGGATGCCGCCCCCAAGATAGCATTCAGTTGCCTTATTTCAGTGGCTGAATTCTATAGTTTATGGTAGATCTAACATGATATAACGAACTAGTTAATTGGGGTTAGAAATGGTTAGAATGGTTTATAAACCAACAAACATCACTGGGCCCCATCCTGTACCCTTGTGGACACTTTTTGGTCAAAGACCTTCACTGGGAAGATGCGAAGACATCCAATCGCCGGCCCCGTCCGCCCCCGTCCAGTCATGTCGTTAAAAGATATGTTCCGAGCCTTCCCGACTCGAGTCGAGTCGACGTCTGGGACAAAAAGAACACAAAACTCACAGTTCGATGTGGTGTTTATCCACCTTTTCTAGATCATGTTCATATTTTCCCCAGGAAACCATGGATTTTCCACCTTGGTTTTTCGGTGTTCCCCATGGTTTCCGGGTGTTTTTCGTCCATCTCCAAGGGATTTAAGTGAAAATCGGAGAGCGCCCATAAAGGCCATTTCTTCTGGTCACCCGACCTCTTGATGCTTCAATACCTACAATGTGGGGCCCCCCAGTTATAAGTTGGTTTATAATCCCATTAACTATAGATATATCACCTATAAACCATAGATATTGGAGTTATAAACCTATAGTTATAGGTACCTATAAACCATAGTTATTGGAGTTATAAACCAACTTAGCTATCGTTTGGGGGCCCCACCTTGTATCTGAAACTATGTGTGAACATCCCACATTCATTTTGGATGTTCACTGATGTTCACCCCAAGTTTGTGAAAATCCCATTCATTTTGGATGGATTGAAACACCTGCAGTTGTTCAGACCCAAATGATATAGATTTTTTCCCAACGACGATCTTTGCCGAGCTGTGCCAGTTTTTTTTGGCCAGATCCATAAAGATTCTCTCCGTAAAAATCAACAGACGGCTGGGAAATCCACTTTTTCGGCATTTCAATCAGAGTTTGTCATCTAAAAAAAATTAGGACTTTGGCCATCTGGATGTGGGTCAAAATGGAAGACCGATGTGGGACCACAGATGTGAATGTCTAGTTTAGTATTAACCATCCAATTATTGGGGTACCTAATTTTGACCCATACCCATCTGTGATCACCAATTTGGGTAAAGCACTACCAGTCACTACCAGTCACTAATGCTGAAAAAAGTCCCATTCGGAACTGTCCAGAAACGCCACTTGAGTTCTGAAAATCCGGTACCACATCAATTGGTAAAAATCATCATGTTCCCTCATTAAGTCACCATGAAAAATCACCATTAAGACACAATTTCCAATAAAAATACCTTCAAAATTCCACAAAATCCCAGTATATCACTTTTAAATCCCATCAAATCCCAGTATATCACCATGAAGTCACCATATGTTGTTTCTCTTCAAAGTCTGGAGCAGGGCTTTCTGTATTCAAGGCCGATTTTTTTATCCGTGACGCTGGCGCCATCATTTCTACTCCTCCCGCACGCGGCCTGCCAGGCGGAGAAAACTGGGCGACAACTGGCTTGGCCAGTTGGATCTAGAGTCCGAGTCGCTTCAGTAGGATAAAAAAACTGGATTCTGGTGAGAATAAACATTTAATAACATTTAATCATTTATCAGTTATATTTAGATCTATTTTCAGATTCACCCAACCCACCAACCCATCCCAGATACATTTGGGGGGATCAAATGGGTACCGAATTGTGGCTATCACCGGTTGCCCAGTTATAAATGGCTGATAATCCCATTACTGGTTGGTGGTTTTAACCATCTTGAAATATATGAAAGTCAATGGGGTTGGGATTATCCCATATATTATGGAAAATAATCCAAATGTCTGAAAGCACCAACCAGACTAGTTGGATATATCACCTATAAACCCGAGTGAAATTGGACTTATGTGGCCCCCAACTGAACGCGATTCCGAACGGGGGCACCACCCTGTTGGGCGGGTCACCGAAATAGGGGCGGTTGAATCCCTATGAAAAGAGTGCCCCAACATATCGAGGAAAGAAAACCATCCAAGCCACTTTGACAGGCACTCTGACCAGGCCATGGACTCTCAACGTACAAACCACACGTGTCGAAAGTATGACTCCGGACCTCAAATCTTTAAAATCAGCATCCCCCCACCAATCCATGGATTGATCTCAGACACCATGGCTTCTTACCGAAAAATCTGGATGAAGTATTTGATAATTCCCCACCCGGTTTTTTTCGGCCTCACGATGGGTGAGTTACCCTCACAACAAGAACCATCATTTCGCAGGTGATCTCGCAGCAACCGAGTTGGTGATTTCGCAATTTCAACCCCCTGAAAAATCAGGGCAGAGACCGTTGAGATCATAGTAGGGCTGAGAATCAAAAAGATCTTTGAAACCACCAGCTAGATCATCAATTGGGTATATTTTTGCATCATCCAAGTGACATCCCTATATGGACGTTTCCTGAAATAGGGGTCCCCCTAAATCATCCATTTCTACATGGATTTTCCCATGGAAATACACACCATCCAGCGAGCTTGGGCTATCTCCATTTCATATTCATCATATTCGTTCGAATTTCCACGCACAGAAAACAAAAGCATCCAACTGATGCCGTCCCATCAGGGTGCCGCCTATGGGGCGAAAGTGCAAGTGTCCAACACCTTGATGAGCCTGGTTTCACAGGGATTTTATGGGATCTTGTCATGGGATTCATGGAGCTTTAGTGGGATGTCATGGGATTTCCCTGGTAATGAAACATAGCTGGGAAATCTCCTGCCTATGCAAGGAGCTTTTGTTTCTGGGAAAATCATAGAACTTTTTTTGGGGGAAAATTCCAACTGCCATGTTTGATGAGCGGAGGGTAGTTCCCCTTTTGAACTAGGGAAAATGGATATCCATAGTTCCCTTCACCGCTCCCTCCAAGAACCACCGCATAGTTAAGCGCCAAGCACTAGGGAAATTTCAGCAAACGCGTGGATTTTAAGGCAAAGGATGATCATTGATGGTTGTTTACTCCACCGATGAGGACAGCATATAGATCGATGTTTTTTCAATGGACACACGTGGTTATGGGTCAAAGCCCTGATACCCGGATGGCACTGTAAAATACACGGTTGATCGATGGTTTTTCCACCAGTCATGTAGTTTCATAGGTAACTCAACCCATCCCCACAATATCTGAGATGAACAGATGAACATCAATGAACATCGGCATCCACTGGTCAAAAGGGTTCACCCTTTTTGTTTAAAGAAACGGATGAGGAATCCTGGGAGGATCTTACATGACTATGGGTCATGAATACCACTCCCATATGGACTCCAAAATGAACAGATTCAATATTACCAGGCTGTCGCTTTGGGGCCATTTTATATTTAGGGGACTGGGATTAGACAAACCACTGAATACTATATAACTAATTACTATTCTAGTAAAAATAGTTGTTATATTATATTGCCATACAACAAAATAGTTGTTATATACTATAATATTGATGGTTATATCACTATATATTATTATTCTAGTATTTCATCACTGGTAAATCAGTGGTTATATAGTATTAGTAATTGAATAGTAACCACTAATAGTAATGTACTATATCATCACCATAGTAACCACTGAATAGTAACTACCAATTGATTTCATCACCATAGTAGTTCTACTCAAAGAGAAATCACCACGCCGCTACGGCTCCGCACCAACGCCGTGTCCAGGAAGCGGCGGGGATTGGGCCTGTTGTTTGGGGTGGATTTTTCATAGGGGATGATAAGGGTATTTCTAGAAATCCACACAAAAAAAATAAAGGCATGGAAATGGCATGTGCCAATCTATTTTGGATGCGATATCTCACCTTTTTTTCGCTTTTTGGGGCTGCTATAACCCCCCCGAAACAAATGATGATGTGAGATGTTTAACTGCATCCTACATAATCTTGGATGTGCTGCAAAAAGAAATGTTTAGCTGCTTAGTCTACTTTCTCATTTGTGATCCAAGAAATATTCCTTGAAGCTGCTCAATCAAAGCTTACTCATACATCTGGCCAAATGGCTGTGTCGACTTCTCAGTGAGGAGTAAAGCTGCGAAAAGTTGGCCCCAAATCCACAGCTTTATCAGGTTCCCTATGAAATTGCCAAATTTCAGGTTAGACCGAGTTATACCCCATAAAATCACACACTAGACAAAGTTGGATCGTTTAAGTGATCCATCAGGAACTGAGTCCTATAACGTGCAAAGAATTCAGGAAAACAAAAATCCTAGAAGAATTAGTCGACAAATAGGAGGTACTCCGAAAAGACAAACTCGTCCAGAAACACCATCAAATACATCGCAAGATACTGAAATTGATCTAGCCCTCTGCCATGACGACGAAATAATAGATCCCAAATTATGAATAAATAAATTGTCGCTGTAGGGTTCTCGGCTTAGCCCCTTGCCACATTCGACATGGAGAAAATTGAGTTGCAGGTACGTCCAGGTGATCAGCCTGGATATCCTAAGGACACACCATAGAGAGCTTCGTTGGGCACAGCTCTATGGGCCTTCTGTGCCCCCCTGCAAACTGGAAAATAAAAATATTGAAATGTAAAACGAAGTCAACGCAGAAGTTTCACATCTGTTCAAATGGTACACACACACACACTTGCTCAGAACAATCTTTGCGAATTCTGATGTGGAATGCATCTTACGTGCAAAAACACTCCAATTATACCTGACCGGAATGGGTCGGTGAAAAGACCCGAGAAATGAGCGAGAAGATACTATCGCCAAAATCAATGCTAGATGAAATAAGTTGACAGATTGCGACAACAGTGCAGAAAATTGCACAAACCGCCATGGAGGTTCTTGGGTTGAGACTCTTCTCATCGTCAGAAAATGAAAATTGAATGGAAGCAAACCCTGAACAACAGGTGATCACACCAATGCAGGTACGCCAGACTGGCCAAGTCTGGTATCACCGTCGGTGGTAAGTGTCTTCGTTGGCAGGAGACTTTCCATGACGCTCCTGCCCCCTGCTCTAAAATGGATATTGAAGTTGAAAACGGCAGTTGAGGTTGACAAAGCATCACGAAGAGAAAAAAACGAAAACAAAACGAAGAGCCAAAATCGACATCATCAGGTAGAAGTTTGACATCTGTTCAGATGTTCCACACACACACACTCATCTGAGTAGACTTGAATTTCATTAGATGATCGGTGGGAAAGAGATGGCTCACATCCAGTTGAACTCCTCCAAGAAAATAGAACCTTACCCCATCTTCACATTTGGAGGGGGTCCTTCAAGCGGGGACCCCAAGCTATCATTTAAGTTCTTGATCATTGTTAATGGGAAACCAATGTTGAACAGGGTACCTGAATTTTGGGTTATCCACCCCATAGTTACAGCCCCATGTTATATCCACTTGTCCAGTTAAGTTGCTTGTGACATCCTTCTATTCTTGGTCTTTGGGATGGTTTATGAAAATTGCTTTGTCACTTCACATGTTTCATCGCTTACCCTCTAGTAAACTAACATAGCTATGGAAAATCACCATTTTCAATGGGTAAATCCACTATAAATGGCCATTTTCAATAGCTATGTTAGTTTACCAGAGGGTACCCCTTCTGAAAAATAGAAGGTCAGGTCCCCCCCGGTCCCCATTTTTCCCATTTTTCCTCGACCAAAATGGAAAGAACATCTATGAATCCCCGAAAATTGCTCGTCCTCTCCCTGTAGTTTGGTAGCTTCATTGTGATTCTTGGTACATTCACGTGAAAATGGTGCTATAACCCATCTGACAAAACCAGATCCATGCTCTATTGGCTGGATATGTATCCCTATGTTTGATGCTAAAGTCCACAGTTTGGCTGGATACATGATAAATCCACTATTTGTTGTCTCCATTTGCACGGACAACCTTCATGTCAACTGGCATCATCATCGCAAATATGAAATACTCGAAAGCCATCAACAAACAAAATTGGATTAATCTCCATTCAGCATAGCTATAGATACTGTAATCATCCATTTAATTTGATGATTCAAATATTAAGAGGGGTGATGTTCCAGTTCGCAAGCTGCTAAACTACCTAAGGGCTATGTCCATTTCCCAAAAGTTCCCATTGTATAACTAGCTATATCTATATCCCATGATTTCTTGTTTGCTGTATCCCATTACTGTTGGAGAATACATAAATCTACCAGAATTCTATTGTATAACAATTCACGGACTTGATAGCTGAAATAAGGCCATTTGGGGATGATTCCCGTTAGTTAACCATCACTCCAGTCATGTCACAGTGCAGTCATTATAAATCATCCAGTGCAGTTGAGGTTACAAATGGATAAAACCCCTGTTATCTGAACCCCCATAAGTTGGGATATAACCCCTATTACTACAGTTGTATAATATACACATATCATCCACTTATAACTACCACTGCACCCCAGTAATATTCCCATGATACCTGAAGTATTCCCACTATAAGCATAGTTATTCTAGTGATACACAATAGTCCTTGACTGTGGTATGCTATGTTCGTCCTTAACTAGTTGACTATAGTCCTTATTAGTCCTTGGTGAACTATATTAGTCATTCACTACAATAGTCCTAGTCCTTAACAATAGTCCACATAGTCATCCCACCTTAACTCTATTCCCCTTCTCAATGGCCATTTCAGGAACCTAAACTGGAGGTACCGATTCCATATGTAAGGCCTAGTTTTCAGGCCTAAATTTCAGGGAATATCCCCACAAAATATGGCCAAATATGGTACCAACGTACCTCCATTTTAGGGTCCTGAAAATCTCACTGATCCATATGAATTTCCTCCCAGCTCCCCCCGGCTGCACCCGCGGGAAGGTGTATGCGTTGGATGCCGATGACGCATCGCAGCACCCGAGCTTTGACTGGCGACGCACAGAAGGTTCACTAGGGTTCACTAGACTATAGGTTGATATAACCATATCATACTATAGCTACTGGTTGGAGGTTGATATAAGTATATAGTTCATGGCTTTATCAACGAACTGGTGATTTACCCTCTGGTTATTTAACATAGCTTTGGTATAGATGGCCCATTTAGATCAATAATTTATGATTATTTACCTACAGTAGCTATAAAATGTTGAAACTTTCCAGCCAGCCACATTAAATAACCAGAGGGTATGATATCTGCACCCTATTGTGTGAATATGATCACCACGAAGTGGGTTTATAACAGGAACTCATATGAACTCTATAGAATGGTGAATCGGAAATGTCAGTTTTACTCTGGTTGACGGTAAACATCTTACTCAAAAATTTTGGTTGCTTGCATCCTTTCTTGTTGTTGGTGCTTTCAAGCTCCCTGAACAGTAGCAAAGTCAATGGGTATCGGGTAGCATCATCCCAGGTACATAGCATATAGGATGGAATATAAACAATAGTTCGAACCCATCACCAACAGATAATGCCAAGCCCGGATTAAGATCTACCCTCTTTGATTAAGTTATTCTCGGGAGTTCCCCCAAATATAGTAATTTCATCTAATTTCATCCGCTACTCAAATGGCTTCTCCAAGAATCAACAGCCAAGTATAGTTCCGGGCTTCCTAAGTCATGGGAGTACCCCGAGTCACCATGGCTTTCAATACTAATTCATGGTCTAAAGAATGACTTGGATGATTTTGGGTACCCCCATGACTTAGGAAACCTCCATATAAAAACCAAGAATATGGGATTCAACGTGGCTAATCTAGAATATCACAGGGATATTCCCAGAATTAAAGGGAACATCCGCAGTATTTTTTCAAATGTGCGCAGGAAAAAGCTGTGGTTTCAACTATAAGTTTTCCCTCGAATTATACTATAATCAATACATATCAATATGCTATTCTCGTATTATTGATGATGCTAGCCTCTGGTAAACTAACATAACTATGGAAAATCACCATTTTCAATGGGTAAATCCACTATTTCTATGGCCATTTTCAATACGTTAAATTACCAGAGGGTATAGTAATCAGTACGACTATAATCTCCATCACCTTACTTCAGTAGCAGGCCCTTTTTGCGGCCTCTCTCTTCGGGTCACCGAGCGACCGCGATAGCCTGTGTTGCTCCAGCCTGGTGAGAGCCGAGCTCTCCGCTTGGTTAGGATGGAGAACATCATCACAAAAAAAATGGGATCGAGTAAAACCGTTCACCCCTGTCATATCCAAAAAAAAATTGCATCCAACATCATCCATATCCCCCCAAAAAAAAACATCCATATCCTCCAAAAAAATCGCATCCAACCAGTCAACTTTCACCAACGAACCACGCCTCGGAGTAAAGTATGAGGACTTCTTGCCCCACGCAGCCCACCTCCCATGAAGCCTCGGGCGGGGCTTCAGACACATAAAAAGATGGGCAAAATGAATGGATCATGGAAAACAGATTCAAAATATTAGGATATTAAGCATATATTCCTTTCGAAACCCTATACATTTCAAAATATTAGGATATATATATATATATAATGAATGGGTTTCTAAGGGTGTGTGTGTATATATATATAATATTGGCATAGGGATTTCTTCCAAGACCCAGTTGTTCTTTCATGGAAAGCCTCAAAGTTGCATCTTTGTGAATTCCCTTGGCACTTCCACAGCATTTACACGTAGTCAGAACCCTCTCAGAAACCCTACTGAAATGTTGTGGATCTGTCCGTCCTGGGTATTTTCCTTTGGTAAAGCGCGCTCCTTGGACGTTCCGAAACCATTTCGCTGTAGCGATTTGGCTGGCAATTCTTCTACTGTGAAGTCATGTTTTCCAGATGAGCCATGACAAATATCATCAAATATCCCTATCCCATCCAATTCTACTGGTGGGTGAATGGCCATCGTTAAAACCGGTTTATCAGAATCCCCAATAGGCCAGTTAGGTTACAGTAATAGCCCCCAACCAATTGAGGTTTTCCTGAAATGGGGGTACCCCCAAATCATCTATTTGAATGGGTTTGTCCATTATAAACCAACCATTTTGGGATCCCCCATGGAAACCCCCAATTAACTGATCAACAGGTCCATAACTTTCATCGCTTGGGAAGGCGAATCTTGATCCGCCACTCGGATCATCCCTCGAATCGCAAGTGGTCACTACAATAATACATTGCAATATATTAGTATATTAGATCTATATAATAATATAGTGATATGATAGATCTAATATCTATGGGGATATGATGGATCTAATATAATAATAATAATATTAAGATTTTATGGGATATATAATAATATTGCAATGTATTATTGTACTGGGTTAGATTATCTTAATACATTGCAATATATTATTAGATCATTAATATGTTTGGTTAGATTTTATGGGGATATGATAGATCTAATCATGATATGGTAGATATAATGGTTATATAATGGTGATATCTAAAAAGTGGCTAATACCATATATTACAACTGGTTACAATATATTACACTATAATATTACAATTCTAAATTGCGGTTCCCGTATTGCAATAGATTGCAATATATAACAATTCTGGGGTATCAATTACAATAATCCCATTTGGGGATTCTGCTGAGCCATAATTTTCATGATGGATCCCCAAATAAGCCAAGTTAACTATGGATTACCACTTCATATTACAACTGGTTGGTGGTTTCAACCCCTCTGAAAAATGATGGAGTTCGTCAATGGGGTTGGATTATCCCCATATATGAAATGGAAAATAATCCAGCCATGTTTGAAACCACCAACCAGACAAAAAGTTATAAGCCGATTGTGAGATAGCAGCTAGCACAGCTGCAGTTCCAGTGAAATGGAAAATTTCATCACAGCGGCACCAATAACGGTACCATCTCCCAACTAATGGAGGTTAGTCATCACCGTGTATTTAATGTAGATAACTGTGGGGATAATATGGGATAATACTATCACCATATTTAGTGTACTTAGTACTATGGGGATAGTATTTCATCCCACTTATCAGTTTAGTATTTACTGTAAATACTGTGAAATATTTACAGTATTTCCTCCCAACTGCACCCTCAAGTATGGGGAGTGATACCATATAGCCACCCCACCAAGATAGAAGCTGCTACAATCTGCCAAAAATGATGCGAAATCTGTGAGGTTGCAGTAACCATATACTCATGTAGTAAATCACTGCTCTATCTTTAAGGGTCACCATAAGGTGTGACTTGATCATACCCTTGCCGAAGAAGCCTGGTTGGTGTCGCGAGTTGCTACCTGTCCTCGGTGCCGGCGAGTCGTGGCAAAATCATAGGACAATCCCCAGAGGTGTTGTTGGAGAATAATCTAAATCTATAACTATAAATGGTGGATGGGCCCCACACGTTTGATTACCGGTACTAGGATTTGGAAAAGAACTGGTACCAGTGACTATTCACTAGTATGAAAAGGTGAAGCTCACTGTCAAACTTCAATACCAGGATTTTGAACTCGAAAAGAACGAAACATGCTAAATAGAATGTGGTTGGATGGGAATAGCCAATGGGGTGGTGCTTGGTGTTCAATTTTGGCAGCCGCATGGAGCCACCCCCTGAGAAACCTTCGTTTAGCCATCTATGTCCAAATGATTTGGGACCCATTTCAGGGATAACACATGATAAAATTAGGGGCAAATTAGGGCGTGCAAAAGTTGGAGGGATCACCAAAAACAGAAACGTTTGGCTGCCGGTTTCTCCCAGAGAAACAGTGCAGCCATTGGGTCGCCCGCAATTTGGGCCTCAAAACCCAACGGTGCCCGATGGTAGCCATCACAGTAAATGGCTGGTTATTGGATGGTTCTTCCTCCACAAACATGGTAATAACTACAGTAATAACTACAGTAATAGGTTTTGACGCTTCCCCATATTATGGAATATGAACATCCTTTTCTGATACTCCAATTTTCACCCACGCCCAACCGAACTGTCAAGTTTCGTCGCACGGGTTGAGGCCTGTGTACTGACTGAGACCTCATCATGGTGGGAGTCCATCGTGTACCTGCAGATCAGGAACCAACAGGGCAGATGGGATTGTCATGACCCACCAAAATCTATGAGGTGTGTCTGCAAAAGGTTCAAAAGCTGCTGCGTCCAGAACAATCCATGGTGGAAACAGTCCATATCTTACCAGCCGGGTCTACAGACCCTTGAAAATCTTAGAGAAGTGGAAATATCTCCCAATAGGGGGGTAGTATCCCACCTTGTAACGCGGTGAAATCTCCTTGCTTGTAACCTCTTCAAATAATCCCAGAGTGGTACACCAGGTCAGGATGAGCCCGAAACGAAGCCCGCCAGTTCTACATCAAGGCGCTCGGTAAACTCGTCCACGGACCATTCATTGCTCCCATCCGACACAGTGTCACTGGCTTCCCACCAGGGGGCCTAGGCGCGGGCGCCAACCGGTGAACCATGGCCCGAATAGCTGGCTGTAACTCCCAGTGTTTCACTACACGTGGTGGGACGACAGCTGGAAAATCCCCCAATTTATGGTGAAAAACCATTCTCAGACCCCCATTAAATGGACGGTTCAAGACTCAAAATGGATGGTTTCATACCAAAACCAGCTTGTTTTTTCATTTGAAGTACCTTGAAGTACCTTGAAGTACCTCTTAAAAAGATTTCGAAGAGCTTCACTTTCCTATTTTTCTTATAGGATCTGACTCTTTTGAGTCCACCTCAGCGACGGTCAGATTTTCTTCTCCTTCGCGGCCAGGGTGCTGAGGCCGCACGTAGACTGGAGCCACTATTCGGACTGGCAGAGTCTACCATGTTGGGACCTGGCGGCAGCTTTGTTTTCAGATCGCTTTGTGTTGGTGTGTTGGTAGGAGACTTGTTTGCCACTTGGATTCATGGATATATATATATATATGTATATGTATATATATATGTGTATATATATGTGTATATATATATATTTATGCATACATATATATATATATATATATGGATTATCTATGGATGATCTATAGATGATCTGTTTCTATGGATTGTATTGGATTGTATCGGTGATAAACCAGGGTCCGATGCCTTCAGAGCCATGTTAAGGCATTTTGGACGGATATCAAGGACATCTAGAACAGACAAGAAATCTAATACCCTCTGGTAATTTAGTGGTTAATAGTGGTTAATGATGGTTAATAGTGGTTAATGATGGTTAATAGTGGTTAATGATGGTTAATGATGGTTAATAGTGGTTAATAGTGGTTAATACCCTCTGGTTATGTCAAAATAGCTATTGAAAATGGCCCAGTCGAAATAGTGGATTTACCCATTAAAAATTGTGATTTTCCAAAGTTTTTTGTTAACGTTTACCAGAGGGTAGATGCCCTTAGAACTAACATCATTTTCTTGCTGGGAACTAGAACAAGTTCACTCACATTCGTCCCAGGATCTTGCAGGATTTCTCAAAAACGAATCGTCAGTGGTGTTATTTTATCATTTAAAAGATGAACAGTTCGTTCCTTGATTTACACATAAAAAATAGCTATTGAAATTGGTCATGAGTCATTTAGTTCGTTGATTTACACATTGAAAATAGCTATTGAAATTGGTCATCTAGTTCGTTGATTTACACATTAAAAATAACTATTGAAATTGGTCATTTAGTTCGTTGATTTATACATTAAAAATAGCTATTGAAATTGGTCATTTAGTTCGTTGATTTACACATTAAAAATAGCTATTGAAATTGGTCATGAGTCATTTAGTTCGTTGATTTTCACATTGAAAATAGCTATTGAAATTGATCATTTAGTTCGTTGATTTACACATTAAAAATAGCTTTTGAAATTGGTCATCTAGTTCGTTGATTTACACATTAAAAATAGCTATTGAAATTGGTCATTTTGTTCGTTGATTTACACATCAAAAATAGCTATTGAAACTGGTCATTTAGTTCGTTGATTTACACATCAAAAATAGCTTTTGAAATTGGTCATGAGTAATTTAGTTCGTTGATTTACACATTAAAAATAGCTATTGAAATTGGTCATTTAGTTCGTTGATTTATACATTAAAAATAGCTATTGAAATTGGTCATTTAGTTCGTTAATTTACACATTAAAAATAGCTTTTGAAATTGGTCATCTAGTTCGTTGATTTACACATTAAAAATAGCTATTGAAATTGGTCATTTTGTTCGTTGATTTACACATCAAAAATAGCTATTGAAACTGGTCATTTAGTTCGTTGATTTACACATCAAAAATAGCTTTTGAAATTGGTCATGAGTAATTTAGTTCGTTGATTTACACATTAAAAATAGCTATTGAAATTGGTCATTTAGTTCGTTGATTTATACATTAAAAATAGCTATTGAAATTGGTCATTTAGTTCGTTAATTTACACATTAAAAAAAAAAAACTATTGAAATTGGTCATCTAGTTCGTTGATTTACACATTTAAAATAGCTTTTGAAATTGGTCATTTAGTTCGTTGATTTACAAAATAGCTATTGAAATTGGTCATTTAGTTCGTTGATTTACACACTTTGAGAAAAAACAGGTGGGTCGCCCAAGAGGCAGTTTTGAAGAGAAACAATCTCAATATCTGAAAATGCTAAATGAAGGTCGCGTGAAGCAACCTAAAAGTCAAACTCTTGAGTTTTACAAGATTGAAAGGGATGGTGAAGTGTATAAATTAATGGATTGATAAAATGCGTGTCTTTCAACAATAGTTTCATATATAAATTATCTGAAATTACTTGAGATGTTTAGCGGGACAGGCAGTGTGGGAACTGTCGCAAAAGATATGGCCTGGGATGTTGTGTCATTAGATTTGAAAGGGGCTGATATCAATTGCGACATACTACAATGGAAATACAAAAAATATCCAGTGAAATACTTTGACTTTGTCTGGAGTTCTCCACCTTGTATTGAATACAGCATTGCTAAAACGCTTGGAACACGAAAGATTGAACAAGCAAATGAAATAGTAATGAAAACTCTTGAGATAATCAAATACTTTAATCCAAAGATTTGGGTAATAGAAAATCCACAAACAGGACTATTGAAGAAGCAATCATTTATGGAGGGTTTGCCCTTTTTTGACCTTGACTACTGTAAATATGGCTTCAATTACAGGAAGCGCACAAGGCTCTGGTGTAATCTTGAAAACTTCACACCCAGACCTCTTTGTAGAAAAGATTGTGGAAAAGTAGTAAATAACAAACACATTGAAACAGCGCAAAGGATGCCATCAAAAAAGAAGGCTGACTGGGGAGATAATTCGGTGTTTCACTCACAGACTGATTTGTATAAAGTCCCTGAAGCATTAGTGGAAGAAATCCTCAATGCTGTGAATATTGTATGCTTTCAATGATTGTGTCATAAACGATTTAAAGAAAAGATGTGTTAGGATATTAATGGACAGCAGTAAGTATCAGAACGGAAAGATTTATAAAATCACCGATATTGGTTATTCTAAATGCTATATAGGAAGCACCTGTGAAAAATTAAACAGCAGAATGTCGCACCACCGGTATAGATACAGAAATAACACTGGTCAAACTTCATCAGCAATTTTGTTTGATGAATTCGGAGTTGAAAACTGTAAAATAGAACTGATTGAATATTACCCGTGTAATAACTTGGAAGAGTTGCGCAAAAGGGAAGGTCATTATATACAAAATATTGATTGTGTTAATAAAAGGATTGCTGGAAGAACCGGCAAAGACTACTATAATGACAACATTGAAGAACTACGGGAAAAACACCGACAATACGGGCAAGATAATAAAGAGTATGTGAAAGAGAAGAGCAGACAGCATTACTAAGCCAAAAAGAAAACTTACCAAGAAAGAAATAAAAAATGGAACGACAACAACAAAGAGAAGAGAAAAGAATATATATAATAGAAGTGAAACTAACAAAGAATATCAGAAATGGTATAGAGAGAACAGAAAGGAACATATTTCAGAACGAGGAAAGGCATACTATGAGAGGAAAAAAGATGATATAATCAAATCCCACAAGCAGAAAATAACCTGCTGTTGTGGTTCAATCATCATAAAGGCAGGAAAAGCAGAACACGAGAGGACACACAAACATCAAGAATACCTGAAACAACAAATGACAAACAAAGAAGAATAGAAAATGCCGAAAATGAAGACCTTGTTGAAATCCACCGTTTATTTTATGATGAAAATTGATAGGATACATTATCATAATATAAAATTACAATATATTATGATTAATGGTTTTTTTGTTAGTAGGATTTTGATTTCCTACTTTTCTTTGTGAAGTAGGGTTTTGATTTCCTACTTGGAGGCTTTTCATTTTCTACTTGGAAAAAGGGCTCATAAGGTAGGACTGGGGGTTCCTACTTGGGCTCATAAGGTAGGACTGGGGGTTCCTACTTGGGCTGGATATTCCCACTATCTGGGCTGGATTCCCACTATCTGGGCTGGATACTTCCATTATCTGGGCTGGATACTTCCATTATCTGGGCTGGATATTTCCATTATCTGGGCTGGATAATCTGGAGGGGTATAGCCTAGACATTGGGCTGTCTAGGGGCAGGACATTGCGATGTCTAGGGGCTGGACATTGGGATGTCTAGGGGCTGGACATTGGGTATTGAGCCTATGGACGTATTCAGCATTTGAATACAGAATAAGGGTGTATTTCGGATACTGAATACAGGGTATTCAGCATTTGAATACAGAATAAGGGTGTATTCGGATACTGAATACGGGTGTATTCGGATACTGAATACGGGGTATTTAACAAATGAATTGTTTTTAGATGGTGTCTTCTTCTCAATTAGTTTTATGTATCGGCTTTACCATTGCTGGGGTCTGGCTTTATAGATAAATTATTTCATAATTTATCTTAAAGTCCATCTCATAGGTATAGGCTTTACAATGGGTTTTTGAATGAGGGTAAATTTATGGTTTGTTGTTATGGTTTATGGTAAGGTTTGTTTTATAGTCTATTGTATTGTTTAGGTTGTTTTGTTTTTTTGTTTTATGGTTATTTGTTTTGATTTATGTTATTGTTTTCTATAAGGTAGTGCTCCCCTGTCTTTGGCCCATCAAACCCAACAACACCAAGCGTCGTCACGAAGTGGGTAGCCGCAATCCACCACCAGTCGTATCCACAGGATATGACAGGTAGGTTTAATCCCCATAAACGAAAAAAACACCAGATTTCAATAGTATATCTTGCGAAGTTGCTGAAATCCGCCCGCACCGAAGGTGCTGGGGCGTGATCTTCCGGATGGCACTCGTAAAAGGTTACAGGTTTACCTGGGGGCGGGGGGGCATTTTTCGGCCAAAACCTCCTGTTTTTGATAGGTCGTGACGCTCGCCTTCAAAAAACACTGTAAAAAACAGTACGGAAGACACCTGTTCGTGAACGCGCCCGTCCAAAATCGGCAAGCGAAAAGTGAAAAAAACCCGTGTTTTTCAACTTTTTGACCTCAATTTTTTGGTTTGCAACATCTTTTTTTGCGGTTCCGCAGGTGGCCGGCCCGGAGGCGGATTTTTGAGTTTTTGGACCCGTTTTCGGACTGATTTTCGTCGTTTTGTGATAGCAGAAACACTGGTTTTTACAGTGTTTTTCTGTTTTCTGCATGCTTGACGGCTAGCTTCAAAACTTCCAAAAACCTCGTAAATTACGCTGTTTTATGTTACGGTGTGAATGAAAACATCGTAAATACCAGTGTTTTTTGACGTTGGTTAAAAAAACACTGTAAATTACAGTGTTTTTGGCCACCTGACCCTCAAAAACCATGGTATTTGCAGTGGTTTCTGCTTCTCACCGCGCAAAAACACTGTAAATAACAGCAATTTCGCCGTTTTTTCATGGTGTTCGTTATTTTTTGAACTGCGTTGGTCCGCTATACATGGCTATCAAATTCTTCGCGTGTTTTTTTCCGACAATCAGTACTTTCGGATGTTTTTGGTCTCAATGGCCGACATCATTGGCAGTTACGAGCGGCTGCCCAACGATGCGGTGCGGGCGGTTGCCGTCGCGAAGCGACGTGAATAAATCCATATACTTACATATACATCCCCATTTTACATCTGCTAGATCCCAATTCTATCCCACGACAGACTGAATCCCTATGAAATCCACATTTCAACACGTGAACTATTAAAAATACCCCTATCCCATCTCATGAAATCAAGTTGTTTTTCTAGGTTTCCCAATCCTATTGGTTGTCATTGTCCCCAGTAAATTAGGTAGTATAAGTCCCAACAAATTCACCAATCAGGGCATATGAAAACCATTAATCACCATTAATCCCCATTCAGAAAACCATTCTTAACCCACACAAATGCTATAAAACCCAAAATTTATGACTATAAAGCCATAACAACATCAAGTGTCAACTCTTGTGAACGATTACCATAAAACATCATAAACATCATAAACATCATAAAACCATAAACACCACCATAGAACTTTTCTAAAACCCATGGCAACAAAACCATGGAACCATCATAGAACCCAGCGTATTTAACTTATTTCCCATAAGATCATTAAGATCACAAAACCCATATTCATAGTTATTCATATTGGTCATTTGGGGATGGGTCAAAACCATGTAGCCCTTTTGTTCACATCAAAATAGCTGGGATTTATGGATGTTCATTCCCCTAAAAATGGTATTAATAGGTTTTGACCCATCCCCATTTATAATGAGTTTTCCCATTAAACATGGTGATTTTCCATAGTTATGTTAAATTACCAGAGGGTATTCATATTGGTCATTTATAAACCATATAAATATCATATAACCCTTATAAAACCCACCATAGAACCACCGGTAAAAAAAAAAAACTGACCTGGGCCCGGCGGCAGAAGTCTCGGGACGAAACGGCGCCTCAGCAGCGATAAAAATCGGTGATTTGTTCATGGGATATGACTGGGAGATTCATGGGATTTGATGGTTAATGATGGTTAATAGTGGTTAATACCCTCTGGTAATTTAACATAGCTATTGAAAATGACGATTTTTCACATACCCTCTGGTAAACGTTTACATAACTATGGAAAAATCCCCATGTTTCATGGGAAAACTCACTATTTCTATCACCATTTTCAATAGCGAACTGTTAAATTACCGGACGGTAATGGGATTTGGTGCCCCCGGTGCGTTCGTTACCCTCTGGTAGTTTAACGGTTTGCTATTGAAGCCATGACCATGTCGAAATAGTGGATTTTCCCATGAAAAATGGTGGATCTTTCCATTGTTATGTAAACGTTTACCAGAGGGTATGTTGGTTTAGATTCAGCCCATGAAAACGTTAAGTTCGATTAATATCAGCAACAAAAACCATCGTGAAATTGGAGTTATATAGTTATGGGATTCCTTTGGGATATGACCTGAGGGATAACACACTGACCTGAAGGCCATCCAGTGATGCGAACGTTGGTGAACCATGAAATAACCCCCATTAACATCATTAACTAGTTCGTGAAATATCATGTTATATCTACCATTTTTACCATAGAATTCGGCCACTGAAATAAGGCATCTGAACGCTATCGACTGGGGGCCCCATCCTGTATGGGATATTAGAGGAAGTTAATGAGATTTATATAATGGGATTTAATGGGATTTCAATAGGATAATAATGAGATTTAATGAGATTTAATGGGATTTCAATGGGATACTAGAGGATTTCCCCATTACTAGCTATATCATATGGCTAGGCTATATCCCATTGTTGGATTTAACGGTGATTTACCATCTGGTAAACATACAGACAGCTATGGAAAATGACAATCCTTAATGGGTAAATGAACTATAAATGGGCCATTTTCAATAGCTATGTTGAATCACCAGAGGGTAATGGGATTTCAATGGGACTAAATGGGATATGAATGGGACTAAAAATGGGATATTACATGATATTACTGCGATTTAATGGGATACGAATGATGTGTCTGTATGCGTCTGTATGTGTCTGTATGCGTCTGTATGTGTCTGTATGTTTCTGTATGTGTCTGTATGCGTCTGTGTGTAACTGTTTTGTTATCTTATGTTATGCTATGTAGTGTATGTAATCTATAGGTATAGGTATAGGCATAAATCCCCATTAAATCCCAATGTAAATTCCACTGTAAATCCTACTTTATTCCCATTAAATATACATATATAAATGCATATATCTGGGTAAATTATAATATTTCACTAACCTGAAATATATCTTGGGGATGATTTCCCTTATTAACCATGATATATCCCATAACTATTTATATAATATATATATACATCATATATCTCATAAATATTCCATAAATATTCCATAAATATTCCATAAAATCATAATAATATATCCCATTTATATATTTCCATATGCCATGTGCTGAATTCCCAGTCCATCCCACTCCAAATGGCAGATGCAATGCTCCCCAGGCTCCCCAGCAGTGCGGCTGTTCTGACTGGCAAATCTGCGACCGCCTCCAGTGACAGAAACGGTTGAGGAAAAAGTTGGGACATGACCTAGACATGTTTAGTGGGATAATCCCATTGGAAACGATGGTTGAACAGGGAACTTCCAGATTTTTTTGGGACCATCTGCGAATTGCTTAATATTAGGATGGGACTATTCCTGTTAATGAGTATTAGAAGTAGTATACGTATCTTTAGAAGTATTATGGAAATGGAAAATAGGTAATTAATTACATGTTTAGATCACCTACAGGATAGGGCCCCCAAGATAGCGTTTAGTTGAGATATGTCTATGGCTGAATTCTATGGTTTACGGTAGATGTAACGAACTAGTTAATGGGATTTATAAACCAACTTACAACTGGGGGGCACCATCATGTATATAGTGACAATGTTTAGTGGTACTATTAATGAGTAGTAGTAGTAGTAGTAGTAGTAGTAGGAGTAGGAGTAGGAGTAGGAGTAGGAGTAGGAGTAGGAGTAGTAGTAGGAGTAGTAGTGGTGGTGGTGGTGGTGGTGGCAGAATTTGTATTAGTATTACTATCAATTAACGTGGTCAAAGCTAGAAAAAGTGGCATAAAAGTACATAGACATTGCCATTTAAACATCGAGTGGAAATAGCTGGCATTACCCTGATATAAGGGGATATAATGGGGATACGATGCGGATATAACGGGATTTTACAATAAAATATGGGATATAAAAAAACATAACCACCTGTCGATGAGTTTCGATATGTCCTGGGATATATAAGCAACAAGGTACGAGGATGATTTTGGTGCTTCGAAAAGTGGTGGTATCTGGTATACCCAAAATGCCAACGATAAACCATTGGATTTCGAGGTACTGTTTGTACGCAAACCATCCAAGTTGGTTGGTGATCAACACAAACGAGTATTAGCTGGGGGATCAAATAGACATATACCAAAAAATGGGGTTCATGATGACATCAGCATGATGAATTCTTGGACACCTCCCTATTTCTTCATGGTAAAAAAAACAATCACCACGCCGCCTCTGGTTCTTCACATGTAGGCTATACACTTACACCCATTGTGTTTCTTCAAATCCCCAGTTTGATTGATCGAATCCCCAGTTTTCAGACAAAAATGTTTCCTTTCCTCCCAGAAAAGCACTCTCCAATCAATGACGATTAAAAAAAAAAACTAGAAAATCACTCTTCTATCAATCACCAGAATCACATTTAATAGAATTCCTAAATATCTCCAACATTTTTCCAATCCATTTCTAGTAAATCCGTTTTCGGCACCGCACCTCATTGGCCTCGTTCTCCGGGTCCAGGACCTTTCTGGTAAACATACAACAAACTATGGAAAGATCCACCATTTTTAATAGGTAAACGGTAAATCAACCTATTTCTATGGCAATGTTCAATAGCTATGTAACAAATTACCAGAGGATATTAATGATGTTATAGTTCTTGGAATAATCATAGCTAGCAGCTTTCGCAGTGGAACATTTATAGCTATTCACTAGCTATTCACTGGCTATTCACTGGCTATTCACTGTTGACCCGTCCTAAAGAGAATGCACATAGACCATGTTCAGTCGCTCAGTCGCTGGATCAGACCTGCCAAATGAAAAAGAGTTACCCTCTGGTCATTTAACGCAGCGAACTGGAAAATCTGCATTTGATAGCTAAATCATAACCAAAAAAAAAATCTGAAAAATCATCCAACTAAATTTTCATTTTTCATGATTTATCATAAATCATCCAACTAAATCATTAAATGGGCCATCCATGCCATAGCAAACTGAGAAAAAAAAAACAGAGTGCAACTGTTCCGTTGCAATCCCTCCTCCCTAATGACTCAAATACCCCTTGTTCGAAAATTGCGGTTTAGCATTTATCTATTCATGTTGGCCCAGTTTTGGGGGTATGAATAATACTCGGGAATTGGATTATATACTGATGTTTGATCGTGGAAAAGGGTTTCTCACCTTGATATATATATTTATTTATTACAAAGAATGGTTTATAGGTACATAGAAAAGAGGTATATCATTATATAGATTATATATATATATATATACAGTGTATATAAATAAATAAATAAATAAATAAATAAATACAGTAAAACATATTCCAAAAATGCCCTCCATTGATCATTTTGGCTTTTATGGCTAGCGGCCAAAAAATCCTCCACTTTTTGGCCCTTTCCGGGTGACCTCTGACGCCATCCGTCGAACCCGTGGCTGTCGGAGGCCGTCGGCCGTCGGTGCCGTGCACTGCTGCAGGCCACGGAGCCGCGGGAGCGGAGCGGTGCGAGCGGTGCGTTCACCCACCATGGGGAAACCTGGGGGACCAGTGGATGGAACGGGGTAGCCTATTTCCTGGCAAACCCAATTCCCAGGGCTTCAAGGTCTCTCTTGTTTGGGGGGTTGCTATCTTTAGGCTGAGGTAAAGGGTGGTATTTGTTGGATAATATTGATTAATGGGATGATTCGAATGACAATTGGGGCAATTCCATGATGAACCCTTCCCCAAATGATTGTCAAATAGCTGCTTAATTTCAATATATTATCATCAATGACATTTATAGTCAGATACATGATGTTTTGAGGTTTTTTTGGTATAGAAAATACCATGGATTGGAGGGACCCTAAGGGTTTGGATCAAAGAACAGGGAGAAAATACTGAGAAAACGCAGCAAATACTTGGACAGATTGGGATTTCAACTATTAAAAGAAATTGTTTTCAGATCCGCTCGAAGAAGAATCTGGTAATATACTGCAATTACATAATGTACACCATCAAAACCAACAAATAAATTAAATAAGACTTCGAACAAGCAAGAAAATCCAGATTTTAAGAACCAACATGAAGATTTCAAGCAACCGGATTTCAGCCTCGTTGGGATTTGTAAGCCATGAATTTCACGATTCGACTTCAAGTCTCTGGTCTTCTGGGTCTGCGCTGCCAAAAACTTCTCCCATCATCCACTGGCCAAACGATGCCAAAAGAACCACAGAAATCAAGAAGAGACCCGAGACCCATCAACCCCTGTAATGGAAATGTTGAGCATAAACCTTCAGTGTGATTCCTATCATTCCAGTGCCAGTGATTTCTCAAAACAGAATTATTCACCCGGACCCATTTTTTCCACAGCACAGGATAAATCTACCCAACAAGTTCGAGATATCGCAACTTCACCGCCCCCTTTTTTTCTCCGAAAGATCGATTTGGTCGGATGGTCGCCATGCCATCTTTTTTCTCCACTGGCACAATGCGATTGGGTGAAGGTCCGGTGACCTAGTAAATTGATGTAAATTGTGGATTTAAAGGGAATAACATAGGGGTTAACCAACCTAAATGGATTACTAATGGTAGCCTCTCTTCATCAAACAATCAAAGGTTTACAGCTGGGAAAATCATCTATGAATGGGAGATGTTCCATTGCCTTGTTTAAGCCAGCGGGTGGGAAACCGTGCCAGCACTTTCTCATTTTTTGGGGTGGTGTTGTTGGGGGGTTCGGGCTGGTGGGAGCGGGGCTAGCGTTTTGTCGCCTTCAATCTCATCCAAAGGCTGTTGATGCTACTCTCTTGACTTTATGATGCAACTTCCACCATGCTCTCAACTTTTTCCTGGGAATTCCTACACGCTCTTGATGACACACTCTTAACTTTTCTGTGGAATTTTACAACAGGCTCTTGACTTTTTCCTTAAAATCTACACATGGGTGACAAACACTCCCAAAAAACGTGTCCTAAAAATGGTTCTGGCATCATGATTTTACAGCACACCACCTCAAAAATGAACCACTTTTGAAACAGGATTCGGATGTGCAAAACAACCTGCGAATAAATTACACTGGCATAGACCCCAAATAGAAGAGGTTTCGGAGAAACCACTTGGGATATCTTGGGATGCTGGTTCTACAGAAGTACCTTGTCATCCCGGCCCATTCAACATGTTTCTAAAGCCGATCCATGGAATTCCGGCCCAAGCAAACGAAGTGAATCCTTGTAAAAAAGACATGTTTGTTCATGTCAATCCAATAGCTTCAATAGAAATTATTTTACACAAACACATGTTTACAATTTATATATATATGTACCATGAACCCAAAAAAATCCAGAACGGCTTGGAGATATGTTTACCAATCTAGCCGACGAACTGGGGCGTAAATTCAAGAGACGAAGCCCGGAACGACTCCAGTCGACTTTTCGATGTAAATCCAGTCTGGTTGGTGGTTGACCTACCCCTCTGAAAAATGATGGAGTTCGTCAGTTGGGATGATGAAATTCCCAATATATAGAAAAATAAACAATATGTCAAACCACCAACCAGCAGTGAATATGGGAGTTTTTATCAATGCGGGGACTCCTATGAATGGATGGTTTACAATATCTATGATGGGAAAATCCTATGAAAATGCATGATTTAGGGTGCACCCCCAATTTTAATACATGCAGAGAATAGAGGAAAGAATGTCTTTTTCAAGACCCACAGTTCATGGCAGGGTCGTTATGTTGCGGGAATGGTAAGCCCAATCTTTCTGCAGCTCATACCTCAAAGCTCAGGACCAAGCCATCCGTGAAAAAAATCCCTGAACTCATGACCCAAGATGAAAGGAGGCACCTGCAATTTTTCCCTATCCCCAAATTTAGCCGAAGCTTAACTTATCACAACTCAAAACTACCCTCTGGTTATTTAACATAGCCATGGTATAGATGGCCCATTTATAGATGGTTTACCTATTAAAAATGGTGATTTTCCATGGCTATGTTAAATAACCAGATGGTACCAAAATTGGCAAAATTGGCAAAATTGGCTTATAGCTTGTTTGATCGATGTTTCGCCCATGGTGAAAAAAAATGCATCGTGCCAACCTTGCCGCCAGCACTGCCTTCAGCAGTGTTGTCCGACCCAAACGCTGAATTGTGTTGGCGCCATTCAGCACCTTTCTCGGGGGCAGCTAAGTAGCTTTGGACCTGAATTCCGCTGCAGATCAGGCACGCCTTGTGGCTGAAAACGGGAGGCAGCTTGTGAAACCCTCCCAATAAATGGCAAGCGTCCTAGGGAAAGGGGTGATTCGCCGGTGGATTTAGGGCCTTATTTAGGGGTACCAAATTTTCAAGCGAACGAATTTCGAGAATATTCATGGCAACCTTGGGCTTTACGAGTCAAAATGATGTTTCTTTTCAGCGCAAATGGATAGATTTTTGCAACAAAAAATGGGAAGTACCTTGTACCATGGCCAGGAAAAAAAAAACTGCTTTAAAACTGGTGAATCTATCCTCCCATTTACACCACTTCCCAAACCAAGGAAATCCTCGATAGCCGTGTCAACTTACCTTGCTTTAAGTGCCAAGAATGGTTAAACCTCTGGGAATCAGTTCCATCGCTAGCTGCAAAAAACCTATAACTGGTTGGTGGTTGAGCCCTACGCCTCTGAAAAATGATGGACGACTCGTCAGTTGGGATGATGAAATTCCATTCCCAACTGAATGGAAAGTCATAATCCAGTCATGTTCCAAACCACCAACCAGTATGTATAATTATATATTTAGATACCACAATCATCCATGACATAATGTTAATAATCATCCATTAATCATCCATATATGCAATGAGATATTTACATTGGATATTTACAGCTAGGAAAATCATCGAGCTGCTCGCGCTAAATCATTGATTTTCCAGAGGATCTCCCCCCAGATTTCTTCGACAAAAATGAGCCAACTGGGACCTCGGGAGCGTCATCTCCCGCCCTTTTTTTTGTTTTGGAAAAAAAAATCAAATAATGGGATATTAATTGGGTATTTAATGGGATAATGATGGGATATTTAATGGGATAATAAAATTGATTTTGAATGGGATATTTCACATAATGGGGGATATTTATCATATAGATGGGATATTTAATGGGATAAATGGAGGTTTCGTGGGATATCAATTGGATAAACCCTCCGGTGCTCAAACATGTTTTGCTGGCAAATCCCCCATGATGTTCCCAGCTATAAACCTCCATGTTTTCCAGTCATGTTTGACTTGCCACCGGAGGCTATCTCAAAACATCAATGCTCCTAGGAATCAGGTCCGGCCCGGTGCAGCAACAAGCTGCGCTTGTTAAGTCCCAGAGAGCGGTGGCAGTTCATCGAAGATGGCCATTTTCGACGACCGGCTTTCTCCGCCAATTTGAAGTGGCTCCAAAATAGAGAAAAGATCCCTTGAAAAAGATTCGATGTTCCACTCAAATTGGAGCTCATTTTAGTCCCCAGTTGTGGAGAACTTGCACCACCCTCCTGAGACGCAATTCCTGCGAAATTCGGCTGCGATTCTGCGATGAACAATTCCGGTGAAGCAGGCATTATCCCATGTCTGGAGAAGTGGTGAGCAATCTGAGCAATTGGAACTGTCCAAAAAAACGAAGAAAAAAAAACGCAGCAATTTTTGGTTTGTTTTCCAAGGGTTCATGGTACTTTGCTGCTAATTTGAACATGGAAGCAGAAAGATCATTGAAATTAACTTCCAAATTATTTTAGAGGCTCCATATCGCAACCTATTTCTACACAATGTTCCTGTTTTGAATGGGTGAAAATCATGACCATGATCAAACTTGAGAAGGGGAAAGCAAAGCCTCTCTGTGTAAAAGTTGGCTGTGTGTAAACGCGGCATTCTGTGTGCACAAGTTTCTGTGTGCACAAGTTTCTGTGTGCAGTTTGTATCTGTGTGCAGTTTGTATCTGTGTACAGACATCTGTGTGTAAAAGTGTCTTTATGTAAAAATTGCTGTGCGTAAAAACCTTCTGTGCGTAAGACTTCTGTGCGGAGAACTTTCTGTGTGTAAAAACCGTCTGTCTGAAAAAACTGTTGTGCATATTTGTTTGTGCGTAAAGGTTTCTGTGCGAAAAAGTTTCTGCTGTGTAAAAACTGCTCTGGGTAAAGTTTCTGCGTGCAAAAAAGTCGGTCTGTAAAAACTTCTGTCTGCAGTCTGTGTGTGCAAGTTTCGCTGTCTCAAATGTTTTTTTGGTGTAGAAAAAACATGTGTAAAAACGGTTCTGTGCAAAGGTTTCTCTGTGGAAGAGGTTCTGTGTGTAAAAACGCCTATGTGCCTTTATTTATGCGCGCAAAGCATCTTTGTACAAAGCATCTGTGTGTAAACACTTCCTTCTTTGCATAAAAACCTCTGTGTGTAAAGGCTGCTCTGTGTCCAGGCTTCTGTGTGTAACGTCTGTTTGTAGAAACGTATCGGTGCAAAATGCGTCACCACAGCCAAAGCGCAACTGCTTGATGTCGTTACCGTTGTTGATGATGGCGATGATGCGCGCAGGATCCCACAAAGCGTCATTTTGGTTGTCTTAAGTCAATTTTTGAAAGCCTTCGGAACAAATTACTTTCTTCGAGTGATCCCCACCAAGTGACACTTTTTTGACATATTTTCTGACATGCTATCTGGCATTCGCATTTTATCTCATATATGTTCTGCAATTCTTTCTGGCATTCTATCTGGTATATCTTCGGAGATTCTTCGTGGTTGAGATCCGGCGGGCAACATTCTGATCATAAATTTTGATTTTGCTGTTGTTGTTGCTGTTGTTGTTGTTGTTGCTGGTGTTGTTGCTGTTGTTGTTGCTGTTGCTGTTGTTGTTGCTGTTGTTCTTCTTGTTCTTCTTGTTCTTCTTGTTCTTCTTCTTGTTCTTGTTCTTGTTCTTGTTCTTCTTCTTGTTCTTCTTCTTGTTCTTCTTCTTGTTATTCTTCTTGTTCTTCTTGTTCTTCTTCTAGTTCTTCTTCTTGTTCTTCTTCTTCTTCTTGTTCTTCTTCTTGTTCTTCTTGTTGTTGTTGCTGTTGCTGTTGCTGTTGCTGCCGCTGTTACCCATGCGTTTTTTTTCTCAGCCCGTAGTGGCCGAAAATTGTCAAATAGGTGATGTTTTCACGTTTGTTTGAATCTCTGAGCAAAAAAACACCCTAAATACTGATGTTTTTTGCGCCTCGGAAGCCCAAAACCACGGTATTTACGATGTTTTTTTGCCTCTGGTAACAAAAATCACGTATTTACAATGTTTTTTGGCCTGTGCCTAGCAAAACACTTGGTATTTACGCAGTTTTCAACATGTTGCAAGAAGTACTTTTTCCATGCCAAAGGCACAAAAACACTGTAAACTGCTCTTCGGGTTCGTGGAGGGGAGGGTGGGGGGCGTACTGAAATGACTAGCAATCTCCTGAATAATCAGGTAACGGGGCTGGCCACCCTCCCCTTTACTTCGTAAAGCAAAACTCAAGGTAGCCCCACTGGAGCTACCTTTTGTGATGAATCAGCGAATTTAGGGCTTCGAACCACTCCCGACTTGACTTGTCCTGATCAAAGTGACCTTTGATTCGGGATATATGTCATCGCATTTCTGATCTTTTTTCGTGTCTTTCCCTAAAAATATCATTCTCAGTTCTAAGAAAGAAGCTATTTTTGGGATAGTTACCTGTTACAATTCCCGACTTGAGGTCGCAATCAACTCCACTTGGCTCTTCCAACACCTCTCCCGTTCGTCGTGAAACAGAACAAGCAAGAAGTTCGCACGCCGCCAGGCCCTTGAAAAAAACAGAGGTCGTGCCATGACACCCTAAGCACATGAAACAGGCGAAGTCTAAATGTATGTCTCTGATCGTTTAAGGGCCAAAAGAACTGAATATTCAAAAGAATCCACTGGTGGAAGGCATCATTCTTGTCATGACAATTTATAACAGTTTTCACCATGCTAGATGGCAAATCTTCCATTTTCAGACACCAGAAATCCAAGCACCATCGATTATGCTGAGGTTTCTTAACCTTCTCCAAGTCGGTCATGAAACATGGTTGGGAAGTCCCCGCACCATGGAGGCCTATAGCTGGGAATATCATCGAACTGAGGGATTTTCCAGACATGATTACTGGAGGGTTGATGACAAAAAAAAAAACGTGTTGACCCACTGAGCCACCCAAGAACTTGGTTTACCAGGGGTTGGTTTGCCTGTCCCATTTTGGGTATATTGGACATCACCTTATAGTAGCCATTGTAGACCATATACCTAATGGTTGGGTGATGTTCGATGGGGACATTTAATGACCCATGTATTTACCCAAAGGTTTTTTGAAGAATTCAACCACCCAACTCGCAGTTTCCATAAAACACTAACCGACACTGACCGGGTTTTTTTCTCGGTGCTTCCAAAAATGGAGACAGTCCTAGATGTGAAAAGCCCCACATAAAATTTCTACACATGGAACTAGCAAGATCTCTGTACAATAATAGACCTTTCGCTAGTTGAATCAGAATCACTCGGACGTATATAATCCATATGTATATATATATATGTATGTATATATATATGTGTATATATATATGTATATATGTATGTGTATATATATATATACTGTATATATATATAACCCATATATAACTTGGGATGTGTTGCATCTACAACTGCCAGTCCAACGAGTTCTTCACCACTGATTCTTGGGTGACCATCCCTAGGGGTGACCTCAATGACCCCAGCAACGTCAAATTCCTGCGTTCAGTCGTTTCTCTTCGGCCACGACGATGTCGCGGCAGCTAAGTCGTCCGCAAAAGATGTTCCTCGCAATCCATGGCGGACGATCTACCTGGGTAATTTTTTTCATATTTCACTAACCTGAATAGTTCGGCCATTTGGCGATGATTTCCCTTACTAATCATGATACCCAGATCTATGGCTTGGTTGAAGGGATTTGTTACCCTCTGGTAAACTTTCACATAACTATGGAAAGATCCACCATTTTCAATGGGTAAATCCACTATAAATGGCATTGTTAGTTTACCAGAGGGTACAGGAAACCCATATATTTCATAGGAAGGTTTGGCATGGTTTCTTGTAGATACCCGTCCAGACTGACCAACCGAAAAATCCTGGAGAAACACCTTTTTTCACCTTCAACGATGAAATGGGTGTCTCCAACAGTCTAACGAAAAGGTATCATGTACGCCTCTATCCACGTGTTCATCATCATCATCATCAACATCATCATCATCATCATCATCATCATCATTTCCTTCCAAATATGTTTCCATGAATAGAGGTAACCCATCCATTTTCAGACCCAAATACATGATATTAAGTTGGTTGTAAATCCCGACTATATCCCAATTATTCATCATATACACAGATGTGTGTCCGAATTACTTTCTAGTCATATCCCCATAGTTGAATCCCCAACTATATCCATATCGCCATATATATATATACATATACATACACATACATATATCATATATATATGCGTATATATATATATATCCCCATAAATCACCATAAAATCCGCCATAAAATCCCCCATAAATCCCAATTCTATCCCCAAGAAAATCTTCTTCAGATCTCCCAATGTTTCTCCCCACCTGATCTCCAAGGGACGTATAGATGACGAAGACCACAAAGGACATGCAGCTGCATACCAAATAGGGTACCCAAGGATTCACAGCCTCCTTAGGAGTTGTTGGCTTTTCATCTGGAGGATTCGACCAAGCAAAATTCAGAGACGGGATTTTTGTTGAACTATCTGCGCTGAAGTTTTTCCGGACTTCACTGACCAGTCACTGACCTGTAAGGCCAACTATTGGGATGATTCCAGTGACCACGTGAGATGTTTCTATAATTCATCCAGATTAAGGACTATATACCCTCTGGTAATTTAACATAGCTATGGAAACTCACCATTTTTAATAGGTAAATCATTCATAAATGGTCCATTTTCCAGTCCGAAATGTGAATGTTTACCAAAGGGTATACCCATTCATATCCCCCATGATATCGCCAGATGTTGATTGTTTTCATTATCCCATGGCTATTAAAGGCCGTGTTTTTCCCCATGTGTTCATATGGTGGCTTCCTAAAATAGGGGTACACCCAAATCATCTATTTTAAATATTCTAATGGGATTTTCCACTATAAACCATCCGTTTGGGGGTACCTCCATTTATGGAAACCTCCATACAGGATGGGGCCCCCCCAGTTATAAGTTGGTTTATAAAACCATGATAATCCCCGTTCACTATAGTCTATAGTTATATCTACCATAAACCATAGAATTCAGCCACTGAAATAAATAATAAGGCGTTTCTGAACGCCTTCGCTCGAACTTTTTCCGCATCCTCCATCTTCCATCGTTTCCTCCAAGAGGCCAACAGAAAGAGCCCAAAAAAATTGGCGAAGGCCGCTGCCAGGGCCTCTGAACTCTTCACGTACCTTGGCGCAAAAAGTTCCGGATCGAAAAAAAACTCCTCCACCGGGGTTCCATTTCGTGGGGCTACCCGGCCTGGTAAACTAACAGTTTGCTATTGAAAATTGCCATTTAGTTCGTTGAATTACCCATCAAAAATGGTCGATGTTCCATCGTTTTTGTTAACGTTGACCGGAGGGTTCGAGATCCATGATTGGATCCCAGTTAGGACCTGGGTCAAAAGTTGGACATTTTCCAAGCAATTTTTCTCTGGTTGGTGGTGCAATTTCACCATCTTGAAAAATGATGGAGTGAAAGTCAATGGGGTTGGGATGACATCCCATATATGAAATGGAAAATAAAATTCGTGTTCCAAACCACCAACCAGTTCTGGAATTCTTACACGGGATGCTGCGCGCGGGATGCTGCACGCAGGATGCTGCGCCATTTCGGAAATGATACATACATATATATATATCATGAATCTAACATCAAACATCAATTAACATCAAGTAACATGATAATGAAGACTAGACGACGGATGGCCCGAGAGCGTAGAGGAGCAGGGTCTTCTCTTGTTAGTATGGAGACGCAATATTAGAAACGATATATGAAAGCTGTGTTATAGGCAGTCGAGAAGAGGAGTATCAAGACAAAATAGCGAGAAGTGCAAGACAATAGTTTGCATCGCAAACACTTTTACACACAGACGCTTTTACACTGACGCTTTTACACACAAAGCTCTTACCCACAGAAGCTTTTACACACAGAAGCTTTTACATACAGAAGCTTTTACACACAGAAGCTTTTACATACAAACACTTTTACACACAGACGCTTTTACACACAAACGCTTTGACACACAGACGCTTTTACACACAGACGCTTTTACACGCAGACCCTTTTACACACAGACGCCTTTACACACAGACACTTTTACACAGAGACGCTTTTTACACACAGACACTTTTTACACACAGACGCTTTGACACACAAACACATTTACACACAGACGCTTTTACACACAGACGCTTTTTACACACAGACGCTTTTTACACACAGACGCTTTTTACACACAGCTTTTACACACAGAGACTTTTACACACAGAGACGCTTTTACACACAGAAGCTTTTACACACAGACGCTTTTACACACAGACGCTTTTACACACAGACGAAAGGGTTGCTCCGGCACAGGAAAAATCGCAATTTTACCTCAGTTTCTACCGATCGACCCTCATTTCGTGCGAAAGGGTTGCTCCGGCACAAGTCAAATCGCAATTTTACCTCAGTTTTTGCCGATCGACCTTCATTTCGTGCGAAAGGGTTGCTCCGGGGCAAGTCAAATCGCAATTTTACCTCAGTTTTTGCCGATCGACCCTCATTTCGTGCGAAAGGGTTGCTCCGGGACAAGTCAAATCGCAATTTTACCTCAGTTTTTGCCGATCGACCTTCATTTCGCGCGAAAGGGTTGCTCCGGGGCAAGTCAAATCGCAATTTTACCTCAGTTTTTGCCGATCGACCCTCATTTCGTGCGCCGGGGCAAGTAAAATTGCAATTTTACCTCAGTTTTTGACGATCGACCCTCATTTCGTGCGAAAGGGTTGCTCCGGCACAAGTAAAATCGCAAATTTACCTCAGTTTTTGCCGATCGACCCTCATTTCGTGCGAAAGGGTTGCTCCGGCACAAGTCAAATCGCAATTTTACCTCAGTTTTTGCCGATCGACCCTCATTTCGTGCGAAGGGGTTGACGTTTCGTGACTCGCCGCCGGCACCACCCTCGGCCTTAAGAGAGAAAGATAAAAAGAAGGCGTGAGAGAGAAGGAGAGAGAAAGAGAGAAGATGTGAAGCAGATGTGAAGAGGAGCAGATGTGAAGATGAGCAGATGTGAGAGAAGATGTGAAGATGAGCAGATGTGAAGATGAGCAGATGTGAAGATGTGAGCAGATGTGAAGATGAGCAGATGTGAAGATGAGCAGATGTGAAGCTGAGAAGATGTGAAGATGGGAAGGTGTGAAGATGAGCAGATGTGAAGATGAGCAGATGTGAAGATGAGCAGATGTGAAGATGAGCAGATGTGAAGATGAAGATGTGAAGATGAGCAGATGTGAAGATGAGCAGATGTGAAGATGAGCAGATGTGAAGATGAGCAGATGTGAAGATGAGAAGATGTGAAGATGGGAAGGTGTGAAGATGAGCAGATGTGAAGATGCGCAGATGTGAAGATGAGCAGATGTGAAGATGAGCAGATGTGAAGATGAGAAGATGTGAAGATAAGAAGATGTGAAGATGAGCAGATGTGAAGATGAGCAGATGTGAAGATGAGCAGATGTGAAGATGAGCAGGTGTGAAGATGAGAAGATGTGAAGATGAGCAGATGTGAAGATGAGCAGATGTGAAGATGAGCAGATGTGAAGATGAGAAGATGTGAAGATGAGCAGATGTGAAGATGAGAGGATGTGAAGATGAGAGGATGTAAAGATGAAAAGATGTGAAGATGAGAGGATGTGAAGATGAGATGTGAAGATGAGAGGATGTGAAGATGAGATGTGAAGATGAGATGTGAAGATGAGAAGATGTTTTACAGACCCCCACTATTGGAAGAACCCTGCGCTCAGACGCTCTCGGGAAAAAATCATTCAATCTTACTCTGATAAATAGTTCATCATCATCTCATGAAGAGTAACATCCAAGTTTAGATTTCTCAAGGCCACATGGGCCCCATGTTGCGGTCACCCAGGTCGTGACCCAGTGACACTTGCAGCTTCATGAAAGCTTTCAGATCACCTTGGCCGCACCGCCAATTAGCGCGACTCGAGATGACTCGATTTCAATCTCGACATCCCCTATCAATGCTGATGTTCAGAGTGGAAAAAAAAAACATTAAAAAATCGACTCCAGGTATATCTGAAGCCAATATTTCTATATATTTCTGAAGTCAGCTTTTTCGCCTGCTGATGGAGTTGGATTTTCGTCATATCGCTGGGAAATCCCAGAGGACATGAAGCTTGCTTTTGGTCGCTGGAGATGAAAATCAGAACGGGTTTTTTTCCAGTTGCACATGTGGGGATAATGTGGGAATATCATGGGGATATCATGGAAATTAGGTCAGGATGGGTATATCGGATGCGCTTGGTGACACCCGAAATCGCGAATTTGTTATAGATCGATGAGTCCTGGGACCCTGGACATGAAAAACACCCCCCAGAAACCAGGGTTGAATACAGGATGGGGTCCCCGTTCGAGCGATAGCGTTCAGGTGCTTTATTTCAGTGGCTGAATTCTATGCTTTATGCTAGATATAACTATTATAGTTAATGGGGATTATTTCATGCTTTAGAAACCAACAAACATCACTCTGGGGCCCCATCAGGGGATGTACAGATATTTGGGACCCGTAAGGGGTGTTCAATACTGACCTGGGACCATAGTGCGACTGATTTTTCGGGCAGCATCGAGGTTTTCCACCATCGCACAACCCATGCCATGCAACGGTTAGGAGAGGTTTTCATCACCCCCCAAAATGGCAGACAAAGCCACCATTTGTAGATCATTTTCCAAACGGCAAACCATGGGGGTTCCAAGCCACATCTCTCATCGTATGGAAATTTCCAGGGTGAACAAAAGAGATAGCTGAAGCACATCAATTTCGTGACCTCATGGAAATGGGGTATGGCTACCGTGGTACCTGTTCACACCAAGTCATAGCTATGTGAAATTACATCCCCTCTACTCACTGATAATTTGTTACAGTTTGCGACATCGAACATGGACCATTGAGTCATAGTTGATTTACCGAACTTAAAGATGGTGATTGTCCATAGTTATTTAAACGTTTACCAGAGGGTAGAGCTATTGACCCATCAATCAAGTTTCATCCTGGTGAGTCTCTGCTTCCCATCTTAGAGTCTTGCTAACTTTTCCCAACACCCATAGCCGCTACAAGTACTCTCCGGTGGCGAAATTGTTTGAGGTGAAAGGACTGGTGTCCTCTCCGAGAGTGGCTATCATTTACCTTTCTTTATGAGCTGGAGCAACCCTGAAAATTGCTGTTGAAAATGTTATGAATATTTTAAGATTTCCCATCAAATGGATAATTTATTTCACTATGATATTATGAATATTTATGAATATTTCTTTATGAATATCCTAAATGAAATCCCATCAAATTATCCCATGAAATTGTTCAATCCTGTCCCAGGCTTTCACCTCGACTGTAGAAGAAGATAAGCTCGGAAGAAAACTTGCTGGTCAGGCAGTACCTGAGAAAAATTCAGGAGGGTTTTCCTAAGGAAAATGGGGGATCCCCAGTCGTCACTCATAGTTGTTTCAATACTAAGTCATGATAGTCATGGTCGAATGACTTCGATGACTTGGGGAACCCCTCGTTTGTGGAAACCTCCGTATGCTTTCCTGCAAAATTGGGGAGTGAAATCATGTAAAATCCTCAACTTCTGGCCATTTTGGGGCAATTCTCAGCATGGTAAATGTGGATCCTATCTGCTGTTTCAGCTCGTTCGAGGTGAGGAAAACCACATATCCCTTCGGCCTCTTTTTTAGGGCCTTCAAAAAGGCAACTCAGGGTGATTTGGTTCCCACGTCTTTCTGTGGACACTCAGAGTGGGGTTTCCAATCACCATCTGCTCATCAGCTCCCTCGCCAGAAAATCCCCCATTTATCCATGAGAATCTCACATGAAAAAACCTCCATTTCTAGTATTCTACTTGATTTTCACCAGAAAATCGCCCATAAAATGCTTCAATGTTGTGTTTCCACATGGGAAAGTCAATTCGAAAACATGTGAAAACACGGTAAAGTGACAAACAGCATGTGTTTTTCACTTCTTCTCAAACAAAATGGGGAAAAAAACCTAGTTCGAAAACATCAAAACCATGGGTTGTCCCATGGTTTTCCCATCTTTTCCATGGTTTTCCCATGGTTTTTTCCATGGCACGTGCAACTCATCAGGATTTGCCCTAGGACGGCCAGCGGAAAGACACCACCTCGAGCCACGCAGCTGCTTTGGGGCCACCCGTTTTCCCAGCTTTGGGAAATCCAAAAAATCCGGAAAGCCATGGGAAATCCATAGGAAAACCATGGGAAAACCATGGGAAAAATGGGAATATCATGGGAAAACCATGGAAAAGATGGGAAAATCCGGAAAACCATGGGAAATCCATAGGAAAACCTGCCACAAAAATGGGGAAATCGTGGGAAATCATGGGGATTAGTAGGAAATCATGGGCTTATAGATGACAGATGGTTAATGTTAATAACTAGTAATAACATTAATGTTGTTAATGTGGTGCCCCCGAAAGGATAGCTAAGTTGGTGAACATTACTTCAATTTCACTATGGTTTATCCCATGAATAAGTGGTTTATAGTCCACTAATTGAGTGGCTTTATCCCATTAATGTGGTTAAAACAATGTCACAAACCACTCATTTGGGAATGGTAAACATACCACCTATAAATTTATGGTGATGACTGGGGGATGGTTTATTATTGTTTTAACCACATTATGGATGGTTCTTATATGATGGATGTTCTGTATGGATGGTGATGTTCTTGCAAAATAGGATGGTTATTCCCCATGTTCAGGTCCGGATTTGCAGTTCCTGGATTACCCGGCCTGGTAAATTAACAAAAAACTATGGAAAATCACCATCTTCAAGTTCGGTAGATCAACTATTTCTATGGGCCATTTTCTATGTCGCAAACTGTAAACGTTTACCAGAGGGTATATGATTACTTTACTCTCATCATTGCTTTGTAGAACCTGCGATTTGACTGGCGAGTCGAGTCTACTCAAAAAAACCATGACATCAAGTACCGTACTATTGATCAACATCTGGAAAATCCACCATTGTAGATGACTTCGGGAAAACATGGATTTTCCATCTCTATGTTTCCCTCTGGTAACTTAACATAGCTATGGAAAATTGCCAAATTTATTGGTGAATTCCCTATTGACAATGGTGATCTTCTATACCTATGTTAAATTGCTATAGGAAATATAGTTCACTGGAGGGCGCATCAAGCAAAAATGTGACGTGAGCAAGTATGATGAGAGATCCCTCGCAATCACGTTGATTTTTTTTACGATGTCTCGAAATTGGAACCAATTTCTCCCATGTTTTGTAAATCAGGGTCTTTCCAAAATTTACACTCTGGTAATTTAACAAAGCTATTGAAAATGGTTCATTAACAGTTGATTTACCTATTATATACAAATGGTGATTTTCCATAGCTTTTTGTATGTTTACCAGAGGCTACAACGTTCAGGGTTTCCCCATTTCTGAGACAAACACATATCATGTTGGCCATATCCTCATGTTGGTTGCTGCTATCTCATCTTTTATTGGCCTTAGTCCCTATATACATTTATACATGACGTTACATTCGGTTACGTTACATTACATTGCATTACTTTATTTGTAATAGATGACAGTGATGCCCCCGGCTTAGAACAGTTGAGGTACTCGCAGTTTGCTTAGTGGTTGAGTCACTGAAAAATATGCGAAAGTTATTGGGGATCATCATTCCAAAAACTGAAACCGCAGCAGGATATATCTACATGTAAAAAAACGCTGCATGCGTAGCCAGAGAAACCCTCATTCTCCAGATAAATCATAGCCAATTTGAAAAAGTGCGACTAGTTAATGATGATTCCCACAATCCCACTGCCATCGTTTTCCGTTTAATAAATCGAGATGTAGACATATCTGTATCTATAGATATATAGATATATAGATTTATAGATATATAGATATATAGATATATAGATATACAGATATACATATATACAGATATTTATATATACATATCTATAGATATATATATACAGATACATATATATATATACATATATATATCCATATATATATAGATGAATAGATGTATATATATATATATGTGCATATAGATATAGATATATATATATATAGATACATATAGATATATGGATATATATTTAGACATATATGATACATATAGATATATGGATATATAGATATATAGATACATATAGATATATGGATATATATATATATACATATGAATATATAGATACATAGATGTATAGATGTATAGATATATAGATATATAGAAATATAGATATATAGAGATATAGATATATATATATATACATATATAGATATATAGATATATAGAATTGTAGATATATAGATATATAGATATATAGAGATATAGAGATAAAGAGATATAGAGATATAGAGATATACGTAGATATATAGATATACCTACCCAGTTTTGGTGGCAAAAATGGTTCTGAACCAGAGCCATTGCCCGGATGCTACACCACTCAGCTTTTCTTGATTTCCCAGTAGCTTCTCCAAATGATGCATCATTCACCAAGAAAAAATATATGATAACCTTCCAAAATCCAGATTCTAGTTTGATTTTGAGTCATCCATCCCAGAATGTTGTCATGTGGAAATCTAGAAGTGAGCTTGTAAGACAGTGTAGGATGGAAAACATCTGAAACAACCTGGCCGTTTGTTGCTAGTAATATTGATGACGGTTGTCAAAATCCCCATGAAAATCCGCATGGATCGCCAAGACGCTGATCATGGAAAGGCTCAGCAAGATCCAAATGAACAAGGCCCACGAGAGATTGTACGGCGCGAAGGCGAACTTCTGCCTGGATCACAGCTTTTGATCGTCCCCCAAAGCGTTGACAACGGCACGTGGGAGATGGGCTCTATCTACAAACATCGATCTGATCAAGTTCATCAACGACCCCGGCCTCCGATTCAGGAACAGGTTGGGCATGAGATGTTATCTGGTGAATGGAAAACAATGGAAACTGCGTTTTGGCTAAGCCGTCCTGTCTTTGTTGGTTGTCCCCATGTGTGGTCATTTTTGATGGTAGAGTTAGTAGAGGATCCCCATCCCTGTTGATAAAATGCAATGTTTAGTTCTGGGTAAAATGACTATCTTGTCCCCGTGTTTGCAGATGACGTGCGAGTTAAATACCAGTTATGATAGTAAAAGGTTAGAGGTTAACAAACCCATTTGGCCATATCAATGCTATTTGGATATATTATGTGCCCACCACACAAAACCAACCACCATGTCCCAGCCATTTTCCGCAGTAATGATTTCAAGTTGCAAAAAAGGAACTTCATGGTTCTTTTCAGATCTTCGACTGGCGGTTTCAAACTGATTCTACTATTACCCGCCAATTTGCATTTACCCTCCACTTAAAAAAAACCTGGCTGGAAAATTCCTCTTTACAACCCCATATGCTCCATGGTGCTGGAATATTTACCAACATTTACCCTAAAAATCACCCAGTTTTGTAGGTAAATATTCCAGCACCAAAGTTCGCATCTGGGACCTAATGTTCTGCTGAGATCTTCCATTCCTCGACGATTGCCCGCGGTTTCCGAGGTGCCACAGGCCAACACAACCACGGCAGCACTTGAATTGGGCGCCTGGGTTTTGGCAAAACGACCCAGTCGGCAGGATTTGGGGATTGCCCTATGGCCCTTTGATAAGAATCTGAGACTTGAATGGTCAGCAAAAATGGTGGTTGAGCGGGATTTCATGGTGAATTGTAGCATTACCATCCATTACCCCCATTTCCATCAGTATTGCTTGGGCCAGTTTGGTGTACCATTTCATTCTGAATCAAATATTGGCTTTCATGGGGGACTATGAATCAACCATCCAGTGAGAAAAAAACACCATCTCTGGACTCCGGGCTGGATTCATAAAGCATATGCAGCATTTGTAATGGCTTAAATCATAGAATATGGTTTATATGGTAAAGCTATGTTTATCAACATGATATGATATATTATGAATATGTATGATGCCCTCTGGTATACTAACATAGCTATTGAAAATTGCCATTTATAGTGGATTTACCCATTAAAAATGGTGATTTCCCATAGCTATGTTAGTTTACCAGAGGGTAAATATTGTCCAGTTTTATATCATAAATCGTAAATCCCATATTGGATAAAACTGGACAAGACTATATGGGTATGGGTCAAGTCATTGCGCACCACTATTTTTAGAGGGTGAATACCGAACACATACTCATATGATATGTTTGACCCGTGCCCATATAAGTCATCCAAAACTTTATATAGATCAAAACAGTATGGTAAAACAAGGTAAAACAAGGTAAAACAGTACTCGAAAATCGGTTTTCATGAACATAGTAGAAATTACATCTGTACCAAGGTCAAACAGTATGCATCGGAAAGAAAAAAAAATGTAGTCCATGGGGAATTTTCAGCCTGCTGATTTCACTCATCTGGAGCCTTTTTTTTGCTTAGGCTCATATGTATACATATACATATATCAGAATATACATATATATATATGTATATATATATATATCCTCGTTTCTTTAGCAAAAGATGAAGTTCCCCTCCGGTGATCAATCACAGAAAAGTCGCTTCCAAACCCGAAAAAAATGGAGGCTACACCAACAGAAACTTACTTCGCGACTTCATCAGGGACCGCGTTTTGGGTGTGTCCAAATGGTCATTTGATGGGATCTATTGAGACTTTAATGGTCATTTAATGATGATTGAATGGTGATTTAATGGTGATCTATGGTGAGTTTTCATGATTTTATGGTGACTTCACAGGAGTTGACCAACTAATATGGGGATAAAGATGTTTACGAGATCGCGGTGCAAGGCGCCTTTTAAACGCCTTGAGCCAAATTAAGTTAGGCGTTGTTACACCAAAGGTTTAGATATGGTGAAAACTGTGAATTAGCCCCAAGGAGCTTTCGTCCCCCCCCAAAACCTTGCAACAGACCCGCCAACTCCGCAAGCAAATGGGATTGTGGCCGCGCCAATCCCGTATGCTCACCGGCCAGGTTGATAGCACAGGTTATGGAAGTTAAAGGGCCTATAGAGCATGCCAAAAGTGAAACAAGATCTCTCACTATGCCCAGCAGCGCCAGCGGCAGATGTGCTTCAAGTCTTGAGCAGCCGCCCGCTCAGCTTTCCTGAGTCACCCGCGCGGAGCGCTGGGTTGACCCTGGGGGCAGTGTTCAGTTCTACTTACCAGTGGGCACTTTCGGATCCTTAGTCGGAGCGACACCAATCCTTGAGCGCATCTCAAGGAATTGAATCTTATTCAGGGCCTTAGTAAAGATGTCGGCTAACTGGTCCTTAGTGGGTGTCGGAATGATGATGAAATGGTTGGCATCCAATGCCTCCTTAAGTGCAGCAATGGAAATTCTGTGGGTTCGAGACATAGCCCGAAGTTTTGGGCTATATCCTGTCTGAAGAATCGTCACACATGCACTGTTGTCCTCCATTAACTCAGTGCTGACTGGCCTCTTCCACAAGATTTCCAAGACCTGCTTGAAAGGAATCCCTTCTGAGAAGACCCCTTCATTTACCGATGCAATTTCAGCCTCCGTGGTTGATCTTGCAACTGCAGTCTGGCGTTTTGAACACCATGACAAAGGAAAGAAGTCCCCTTCTGGTGAAGTTAAGACCAAATAAATCCCAGAATGACTTTTACATGTCATGATGTCCCCAGCTAGGTCCGCATCGCAATACAACCTGAGAACTGGAATTTCTGGGCTTTGAGGTACTGCCCCCCACAAACCGAACCGACAAGTGGATTTAATGTACCCCAACAAGCGTTTGATTTGCACATCATGATTCCGACTCCACTTTGAAATTGACCCTGCCAAGTGCACGATGGCATACGACAAGTCTGGTCTTGATAGCCTAGCTAACCATAGACATTTCATCAACAGCGCTGCTGCTTTTCCCGCCAAATGACCCTTTACTTCATACCCTTCAATGGATAACAAAGATTCATTGACGAAAGGAGTTTCAACAGGTTTCAAAAGACCGAATTCTGACTCATACATTTCAACAGCAGAATTGGCGTAGTCAACCATGGACATACAAACAGTCTTGCCTTTCCCCAAATCGAAGATGACATGGTCTCTTCCCAGATAGCGACCGGGTTCACAAACTTTGTCAAACTTGATTTCTCCCCTGATCATCTTCCAGAAAGCGTCGACTCCTTTTCGGGGACCTGATGCTATTACATCATCGACATAGGCAGCAACTAAAACGTCCCAATCTTTGAAATGCCAAATGCTAGGAAATTCTTCAATCTTTTTCCCTTTCATTTTCTTGGTCAGAATATGATCGAAGTACTCAAACCAAGCGTCACCTGAGATGGTATGACCATATATTGCTCGGTTCAATCGAGATGCAACGCGTCTGTACTTGCCATGCCATTCTGGTTTCCATATGATTTTGGGAATGATCGCATATGTAGGAACTTCACTGTTTAAGGGTGCCTGAAGATATGCCTTTGTGGCATCTGAAATCTCAACCTTGTTGTTGGGGCGCATTCCATGATACAGGACCATGTTTATAGAATGAACTGTCGCTGGTAAAGATTTCATTTCCTTGTAAATGGCCTTATCCCCAAAAGCGTCCTTACAATCATCGCCCCTGAACACCAACCTAGCTTTCATTTGTTGCTGAGATTCCGGGAGTTCTGCCCCTTTAATGTGGCAAATACCCATGATCTCCGCAATGTGAATCTTTTGTTGATTCTTCCGGGCTTCTGAAATGAGAGTGTCAACCTCATAAAGTTTGTTTTCATCCCATACCCCTATCTTCCGGAACTCAGCTGCTTCTTCTTGCAGTTTCCTTTTGGCTTCTGGGCTCCGGTTGATCTCCTCTCTGGATAGTGGCTTATGAACCAACGCCAAAACAAGCTGGGCCATCCACAGCCCTTTCTCCTCATGTGCTAAAACTCCCCCAACCGTGGGCATGGATGGGATAGCATTAAGCACCGTTTCAGAACACAAGGAAGAAACTATGACTGTGGCCATTTTGAGATTATAAAACCCCGATTCGGATGCCAATCCGCCTCCTTCAAGGTGGTCATGCTTGTGATTTTTGGTATGTGGGCATGTGTACCGGTTGAGTTCCACTGCCAACCTTCGAGAAGTCGTGACAACCCTCCACTCTTTGAGTGGCTTCTTGCCCTTGATGGTTAAATCAAACCCACATCCAGTAGGATACGAGGCGTAGAGGATGAAATCAGCAATATATTTCAACATGACTGGTTCTTTCCACCCGGAACAACCCTTAGGCCATTCAAAAGAAGTGCTCCCACCTGACAAAACTGCCAAATGAGAAAGATGATGGAACTTTCCAACTAGTGAAATGGATTTCTTGCGTTCATTTTGGAGGTAGTCCTGATACTTCTCCCCCTGAACTGCAAGATTTAGATTCTGAAGTTTTGAAAATGGACCGCAAGGAATGGAACCGAATAAATGGATTTTGTCCCCTTCTTGGATTCGTTCATGAAACCAATATTCAACTTGCTCAAACACCTGATGATGCAAGAGATCCCCAAAGTCCTCGGACAAACCCAAATAGTCAACATTTAGTTGTTGGGCAACCGTACAACAAGAACTGGATGAGGCGCAGCAAAACTCAACGAACCATTCTTTTTGATGCTTCATTTTTGAGGGTTTGGTAACCGGAGTTTGGGAACATACTTCCTGATACCTGAATGAAAGGTTTTCCTCATCCTCACCTTCTTCAGCCGCGTCAATCAAGATGGCAGCTACTACCTCTTTTCCTTTTTCCAATTCTTGTGATTCCCGGGAAATCTGTGATCCATGAGCAATGTTGATGAGACCGGCTACATCATTTGAGTCTTCGTGGTCATCCTCCAAAACTTCAACTTGTTCTGCTGGCTCCACCCCCCCAACCAAAGGTTCGGTTTCGCCGTCAATAGGTGCCTCAGTCAGATCCTTAGCACCGTGACCCACTATTTTGGGTTCCTGTTCGTCAAGAAGAGCATTGAATCTTTCACGGCACTCCTTGGTGTGGGAGTACAAGCCTTCTTTGCAGGCCTGACAGCCCTTGGTTGGACCATGGACTGCAACCCTGAGTTTGGTGATTGCTCTGCTGCGGGGCTTGGAGGAAGATTCCTTACTCTTCGAATCAGGAGCAAGGGTTTCACTCGCTTTGGCCTTTGAAGCCCCCCCATCCCCCGCGCCGGGCGCTGGGTAGACAGAGTCTACTCCAAAAGCCTTGTTCATTTCTTCCCCAAGACCTTCTACTTCAGCAATGAACCAGTCAATATCTTGTTCTACATTGGAATCCTTGCTATCCCCAAGATACCCTGGCTGAACCGGTTGTTCGATTTCAATTGGTTTGCCTATTTTGGCTGGAAACCGCCAAGGACCTGGAGGCACAGCTAAGGTTCTGACCACCTTTTGTTTGAAACTCTTTTCCAGAAAGTTTTGAAGTGGCCAAGTAAGATACAGACCTTTGAATTTCATTCCATCCGTGATTTCAGCCCCAAGGAACAAAGCCCCTTCCCCTTTGGGTTCAAAGGACATCTGATCTTCAGATTTGATCCAAACCAGAGCCCCAAACGGAACCTTGAATCCTTCAAATGCATATCCATGGACTTTTTCAAAGCATGTTTTGGTACTCTCTTTGTTCGCAATAGCAGTGATGCTATATGACCATTCAAGGTATTTATGGGCCAGCGGCCAATATTCATGACTCAACCCTGCTTGGAGCAACACCGATGCGGTCATTCCCGTCAGAGTCCTGATGAAGCTTTCAGCAAAAGGGTTATGAATTGCTTGCCGAGGAGCACTGGGCTCGGAGTTGAATCCAAGTGCCCGGATAGCCGCCAAGATCTCTGGCGCGCGGTCGCTCCCAACTATTACAATCCCTGGCCTTCTCCTCCCACAAAACTTGCGAAAGGACGATTCAACTTCATCTGCAGTTTTGGACTTCAAGGGAAAGATCCCTGCATACCCCGTGAAACGGTCAACAATTACAAAGCTGTAGCATTCACCTCTAAAACCAGGTTCATTCCTCAAGATGATATGGTCACAAGCAACTTTTTCCAAGTATTCACTGGGTTCTTCAACATCCCTAGCATCTCGGATTGCTTCTCTTTGATTTTCCCTACGTCGGTGGGGTGTTTCATAGAGTTTTGCTTGGACGCAAACTTCACATCTCCTATCTTTAGGCAGGTGAGTCATCAAGTGGTTGACTGGGTTGAGTGGAATGCTTTCATCAGCCCATGCTTCTTCGGGGTCTTCGGCTTCCAATGGCACATCAGGTTTGGGGTCATCTAAGGCTCGAATCCCCCCCCCGAAGATGCGGAAGCTGCCATTCCTGGAACAAATTCAACTGGGAACCTGAAAGTAGGAACATTGTGAGTGACACGATGGGCTTCTAGCATGGAACCTTGGACAGAGTACGACAAGGTGGATTCCGGGGGTACCAAAAAGGGAAGTGAATGAGGTGGCCAGACAAAACCGAAACCTTCATTACACAACTGACCGATGGATAAGGCCATGGGGCATGCCGGCAGCATATAGAGTTGATGTAACCGGTTGAATTCCGCATTCCAAAATCCAAGAGTTTGTCGTCCTTTCTGGGTACCTCCACCTGTGCTGAAAGTCAAAGGATGGATGGTGTCAGTAAAAAACTGGGAATCCAAAACAATACCTTGACGAGCAAGAGCTTCAGGAGAGCCAAGACATTCCCCAGCCCCCGTATCCCCAATGAACTCAATGAATCCTTGATTACCCGAAACCATGGATGAAGCTGCAGCTGCATCTGCCCCTGCCAAAAGTGCCACTGCGGCTGCAATAGCCTTGGCCTTAGGTTGCGCCTTTGGCGCTGCTGCTGATCCCTCAGTAGTAGATGTCAGAGCTGGGGCATTGGTATGGGCAAATGGACAATTAGTCCTGGTGCACTTTCCGCGCGCAAAGAAAATGCAAGGTGGAGGAGTCCCTTCTTTGGAGGTCTTCCCTTGTGATCCCGCTTTGGGTTTAGGGCCTTCGGCTTTGTTGGCTTTGCCTTTGGATTCCTTAGAGTTCTTAGGATCCCCTTTGGGATTCTTGTCGCCTTTGGTTGCACCTTTGGTACCAGTGCCTTTCCCTTTGGGATTAGCTGGCATTGCCTTGGTGTCCGGTTTCTTGGGTGAAGTGGTAGGACCTTTACGCAAATCATCACGAATACTCTGCGCATTTGTGTCATACTGGGACTCTTTGAGTGCCAATTCAACCCCTTCCCACAAGTACTCAAACGTACGAAAAGCTGGAACTTCCAAGTACCGATCAATGACTCGCCGCATGAGGCTGTGTTTCTTCAACGACCCATACGCCCATTGAGACAACATGTCATCTGGCGGTTGTTGAGATGTGGACAACTGTGATAAAATGTACGTCACCTTGTCATGCCACAGTTTAAGTCCAGCAAACGTATCATGCGGTGCGGGCAGTTGAAATAACTCGATACTGGTGGTAATAGAGGAGGTTGCATGATTAGTATCGTACTCCGAGGCAATCAGGTTCAAGATGTATCGGCCCCGGATGTTCTCCCCCGAGGCTTCACATTTCTCGACATAAGCCTGGACTTTCAAGCCAAAGCTGGTCTTTAAAGTTTCCTGACGACACAAAATACTTGCAATGATGCGATCAAATCGAGGAAACGACCCACTATCCTGCGCCAATTTCAGTGAATCCTTCCCCCTCGCAGTGAAGGCTTCTGACAGCCATGGGCCAAGATACCCTTCAAAGCTTTGGTCAAATGCAACAATTGCAGTTCGGACTGAGTTTCGCCAAGTTCGATATTGGGCAGCCGTCTCTGGGAGGTTGGGTAGCTTGAGGTGGTGGAGGTCTTTAGTCCTTAAAGCCCTCCGTTCCAAATCATTCATAGCGTCTGGCATTTCCCATTGACCCTCCTGATCATTATCACTACCATCATCTTGGGTGTCAATCCTAAAATGAATTGGGGTATGACACTGAGTTGGGGACATGACATTGTCTGTTTGAGAGGGGTTTCCCGGTGCAGCTGGTACCGGCAACCTGGGTTGCGCGGACCCTTGCGGCTGTCCTGCCCACAACTCTTGGATGAATGTCTGATGGTGATCCAACTGCTGTTGAACTTGTAAGAGTCTGGTTTCCAAGCTCTGCAAATGAGGAGTAATCCTTTGGCTAATGCTGGATTCAATGTTCCCCATCATCATAGCGACTTGCTCCAAATAATCAATCCTGGGGGTGATACCCGAAACAATATGCAACTCCATCTCTCGAACCCTTTGTTCCAACTCCGAGCCATTATTGGGGTTTTGACCGCTTGCGGAATCGGGCGCTGCAGCCAGAGCAGCATTTCTTGAGCTTCTCAACTCAGTGTTCTCGTGCCGCAGTGCTTCAACTTGAGCTCTCAAATTTCTAAGCTCCAAGTCCATAAAGGACTCCCTTGCTTGAGACACTCTAAGATCTGACGCCACGGCATGTGCCACCTCTCTGGCTTGCGCTACGGCCTCCGTGGCCTCTGCCCTCACTGCTGACGTCGCAGCTGATGCCGCCAAGTTGCCGATCAAGCTAGGATCCGGACCATGGACATGATGTTGTGTCATGTGAACCTGCCTTTGATCAACATTTACAGTTCTCTGGTCATTGAAGGTTTGATGAAAAGCAGTTTGGTGACTGAATTCATCCTGAGAACTAGTGAAAATGTTTTGCTGGGAGTATCCAGCTCTTGACGCGAGAACAGGAACGTGTGACATGTCCTCCAACGGAGGCATCGACTCTGGTGAATGGTCCATTTCCCTTTCTTCCACAGCCCTTTCTCCCATTGACATGGGTGCCCTACTCCTTTCCCTAGGGGGTCGATAAGGGTGAATTGCTCTGGAAGTTGACCTTTGGCGGGTTTTCCTAGACTGGGAACTTGTTGAATCACCTGATGAAGCCCTACCCCCCGAACCAAGATTTGGCATTCCAGGGACCCCCGAACTAGTCGATGTAATGGCAAAACTGGTACTTGAAGATTCCTCCATTGATGTACCCCGACCCTAGATCACCCCTACACAACCCCCCGCGCCGGGCGCAAGGTAGGTTGAGCCAAGGTTCACAAGGGAATCTGCCAATGGGATCCAAATTGGCGCTGCTGCAGAGTTGCTTGGATGCTGCGATCCGATGCAACCTGATCAAGGGCTTCCCTTAGTGAGGCCAAAATACGGTGCTTTCGGTGATACCTGGCCCGAGCAGTGACCCAAAAAGTATGGATACTAGCTTCACAACTGTCCAAACAGTCCAACCGATCGTCAATATGAACCGTGGTTCCAGCAATGTTCAGAAATTGACCTTTATCACGTGTATTGACAATCTTCAAACCCAATCGAAACCGTGGGTCTTGAGTTCCTTGGTTGAAAACTCGGACTTCGTTCAAAAGTTGCAACCGTCTTTCCTGAGACTTCGCCCCTGTGGTACCAATGAACGACGTAACTCCAAGACGAAAACCACGAACAGCGTTATCCAAGAGAAACTGACGAATGGATGGCAAATTGTGAGGATGAATCCCGTTATACTCCGCGTCACCGGCCTGACCTACGTTGAGGACACCGTTAAAATCAACCGAGACCCTGACTTCGTAAATGGCAGGTGCTGGATTCAAAACAGGATTAGACACAATCAACAATGCCTTCCCCTTTGCCTTTTCAGGTGTCTTGGGAGCTACAGTCAAATCCGGTGGGTGAGTCACAGGACGGACTGTCTTTGGGATTGCAACCGCCTTTGGAACCACAACCGCTTTGGGGATCCCAGCAGCTTTTGCAAAGAAGGCTGTTGGTGGTTCAGCTGGTTTCACAACTGATGTGGCCCTAGGCAAAACTAACTCCTTAGCTTTAGGTACTTCAGGAACTGTCTGAGGAGTAGTCTCTTGTGGTGTCTTGGATTTTGGGGGACCTTCCAACACAGGTGACTTTGACTTGGATGAAGGTGCCTTTGATCCTTCGGCCTGGGGAAACGATCGAACACTAGAAGACTCAATCGTGACCTGAACTTGAATTTCCTCAGGATCAACAAGGGTGTCAAAATCCGGGAATTCGGGTTCCTCAGCAGCAACAGAAGATGAACTAGCCTTAGAGGCTGCTATTCTAGTCGCTACCTCGCCCCTAACCCTGTCAAGTCGCTCTAAACCAGCAGCAGAAGAAGGTTCCGTTTTGGGAACGTGTTCGCCCCTTATGGTTTGTTCAGTGAGCTTCTTGGACGTACGGGTCTTTTTCCCACCTCTTTCACCCCTGGGCATCCAAGAATGCCTTTCCCCGTTGAAGCGAACTCAAAATGCAGGCTAGGTTCAAGGCCAAGCAAGAGAGCCGCAATAGAGAAAGACAGGAAAGCTGCCAGCCGCGCACAGCGCTATGGCTCAGCAGCGAGGACAAAGGCCGCTTTTGCGGCTGATAACCACGAGATCGCGGTGCAAGGCGCCTTTTAAACGCCTTGAGCCAAATTAAGTTAGGCGTTGTTACACCAAAGGTTTAGATATGGTGAAAACTGTGAATTAGCCCCAAGGAGCTTTCGTTGTTTTTTGGAGGTATATAATTGAGACATACCCTCTGGTAAACTAACATAGCTATGGAAAATCACCATTTTTAATGGGTCAATCAACTATAAATGCTCATTTTCAATAGCTATGTTAAATATCCAGAGGGTAGCTAGGATATGCTTTTCTTGCCAACTTCATATGATATTTGACTTTGTCTGAAGATGGAGGATGAGATACCCCCCATCGCAACCCCCCAAAAAAATAGAAAACTATTTCTATAGGATGTTAGTTCCATGGTATTTACTTCATATTTCCAGGTGTCCCACTTTTCTTTCTATGACTTGGGGTTGCTTTGACTTGGGGTTGCTATATAACATAACTACATATATATATATACATATATATATAATTCAGGCTGAATTCGAATAACACACTGACCTGAAAATCGCTGAAACAAGGCCTCCCCTCAGGGATCATCTAAACAATTCCCATCAGTCCAGTGCCAGAGTGAGGTCACTACAGGATGGGGCCATCCAGTTATGTTTGTTGGTGTACAAACCATGAAACAACCCCCATTAACAATAGTTATATCATGGTATATCATGTTATATCTACCATAAACCATGGAATTCAGCCACTGAAATGTTTGGCGTTTCTGAACGCCTTCGCTCGACTGGGGGCCCCGTCCTGTAGGTATATCATTAACATTCCCATTCACGGGTTTATAATGGCATTAAAGCCATGATATCCCATCATCAATATTTCATCAATATCTCATGAATGGTATAATTCATCCAAAATCATGCGATGCACTGTAGAACTACTCTACATCTCATCATCGAACCCAAAAAAGGCCACAGTCAAGACACTGAAGGTGTTGATCTGCATGCTAAGCGCCTCAATACACATACTAGGAAGGGTTAAACCCAGATTTTGCTCTGTGTTGGCCGATTTCAACAGCAAAATTGGATTTCAGATGCAACAAGATTTTCTTGGATCTCGCGGCGATTTCACTACAAAATCTTGGATTTAGTCAGAAAAAAATGATATCAATAGGTGTAAATTCTGGATCTGGGTCAAAATTGGACCTCCAAAATGATAGGGGTCCCCTTAGAAGGGAGTTTCCTTTATACAACCCTCTGAAAATGAGGTGTTCCTACTAGTTTCAATGCCGGGAGAAAAAATTGTAAAAGAAAACATCCTGGCGCCCTGCTGTTCAGCGATTTTGGGGTGGCCCCTCATTTTGAGATAAACCCTTTTAGTCTGATTTCATTCCCATGAAGGTGGAGCAAATCTATGATCTACGGGGAAGTCCAAACTGTGTGCCATGGTCTGCGGTAGGGATGGTCATAGAATAGAACCCTGGATGGGAAGAACCCCAAGGAAAGCATCGAGAGATCACTCTTGTGATCAAGTTATCAACTCTTCAGAAGCCAATAAAGTGCTTGGAACTACCCTCTGGTAAACATACAAAATGCTATGGAAAAATCACCAATTCTTAGGTGAAACAACTGTAAATTTCAAGTGTCCATCGCTTTTTGTATGTTTACCAGAGGCTGGAAATGGCGATCAATCAGAAAAGAATCCCTTCTCTGTTCCAACACCCAGGTTTAGTTCACGGGCAGAGTCATCTGATTCTACTCAACCCATCCCCCTTTATAAAAAAGTGTTCCCACATAAAAAGCTGTGTTTTTGTCCCCTCGTCTGCATGGATTTCTGGAGATGATGTTCCCTTGCTTCATTCAAAGGCTCGATGCGAAGATCAGGATCCGATCCCCGCGAATTTGCGGTCAAAACCCACCGCGCAGTGAAAAAGGGGTGGCACGAACAGTAAAAGCACTCAGTGGCTAAATCCCAATTGATTCGTTGATGGTCCAACAGTTTCGGTAAACGGTCAACGTAAAGCATTTTCTGGAAACAAAGTGCGACGCCACGAATCTCCGATTTGTCTCCGTATCCCAATAATATCGATGAAAATGCTTCGTTGATTCCCTAAAATCGTATTCCCCATATTAAGGTGAGACAGCACATCCGCATAAAAAACTGTCATACTTGAATCAGCACAACTACATATTAGGCTTTGTCTGAAGGGTACCTCAAATTCCCATCATAAATATCATCAGTTTCAGACACACCCCGCATGTGTATTAGTTGGTCATCTATCCCATGCAAAATCTCCAATCAACATCAAGTCAGTATGTGTTTTTTTCATTTTTTTCCGCCACCTTTATAAACACATCGAATCCCATGATACTCCTATCATATGGATGTGGATCAAAATGGAAGACCTAGGGGACCACAGATGTTAGTCACCTAATTTTGACCCATACCCATATCAAAAATCCCTTTTTGTTGAAGGTCGTTTCCCGCGGATAAAACCTGCGGAAATTCGTGGGGACCCTGCAGGCCGAGTTCGATGGCCCAGGTGCTGCCACAAAGTCTCCAGCCGTTTGACACAGGGCTGCAGTGGTGGCGTCGCTGATGCCGTAGTATCTCGGTCCAAGGGGGTGCTGGTTGTGGATGCCTCGCAAAAATATGGGAGTTATATTTTATGTGATTTTTCACGATAGAAAATGGGAGAACCAATGGCAGTTTCAGATTTTGACGTTAACTTGGTAAATATCTCGAACTAGTAACTAGTTGCTACGCTGAGAAAACCAACTTACAGCTGGGCACCACCCTGTGGGTTTGGGGGATTTGACTGGAAAGTCTGCAGGACTTTCCATGGTTTTACGGGTCAGGCATGGGGGAAAGTAGAGATTTAACCAACAAATTGGTGATGATTGGGGTTTTCGACAAAGATGGGGCTTTATGCAACATGATTTAGCACCAACCATGGGGATTTAAACAATCATTGGATTGGTTCAAGTGAAATTTGATTGGAACACCACCCGGGGTTTTGCCATTTGAGACGCAACAAAGATAGAAAATGTGTTTTTTCTATCCTTTTGGGGGTTGAATGGTGGCATGAGGATCCGGTGGCCTTGTATAATGTCAAGTATCAAAATGAAGATACCCGGCCTGGCAAACTAACAGTTTGCTATGGAAAATCACCCTTTTTAATGGGAAAATATGGGAAAATCAAGTGTGAAT